ATTTCAATTAAGTTTTCTATACTTTGTTACATTCTTCTGTTAAACTTAACAAATACCCGTAAACAAATATAAAGGATCGAATTCATTGTTTCGTGGCCAACGAAAACTCCAGTTTAAATTTATTTACGATTGTTTAACGCGCAGTCATTTAAAGAATTAAATTTTAAATATATTCTCTCCCCCCTCAACCGTGTAAACATATAAACAAACAAATGTGCCATAAATGTTAATAATTAATTTCAAGAGAGTTTAAACGTATGTGTGAAAGGAGATAGATACAGAAGTGAATATTGTTTATTATACTTTTCAATCGTGTAGTTTATAGTTTAAGAGACAAAGAGGCACTGTTCTAGAGAGAGCACAAGGAGTGTTTTTTTTTCTTCCTCCTCTCTACTTTGACAGGTTCTAGATAAATACTGAAGCATAATTTTTGTAAATTAAATAATCTGTATCGATTCTACAACCCAATTAAACAATACAACAGCGATTAAATTAATTTTTAAGCCGGAATTTTGCGTGTTTATAACTTAAAAACGGGGTTGTTTTCGTAACTCGATAACTCGATCCTCCCGTTACGTATATCTGATCTTAAACTTGTATTTTATATAAATAAAAGAGATAGGAGATTATATAATATTATTAATGTTAAAATCGTTATATTTCGTTTTTAAAAAGACGTTAGGAAATTATAATATCTGGCACTTGTTACACTCGGGTAAACGCCAGACTGTCACATCTACTTTTAATGTTGTATATATATATATTATTGTTGGTGTTCGTTCCGCAACTCACGACATAACTTATCGTGACGGTTCCCAATGTGGTCATTACGATAATGCCTACCTTTATAGGATCGTTACGGCTGCGAATGTCGAAAGTAACGGTCTGGAAATGATGCGTGGACAATGATTTGGAACGGTAAAGCTGTTTTGATTAAAAAGAAAAGCGAGATTCTTCTCCATTTGTGTAATATTTTCAACTGAATTATGTTGATTTGTCATCCAAAACTAAATTATTAGCTAAAGAAATATGTCCTCCTTTTTTTTTTAATATATAATTAGGAGTTTCTCTTAAACTTTCCTTTAAAAAAAAAAATCTTTAGTTATATATTTACATTTGTTTAAAATAGTTTTAAGCATTAAATAAGTATAGATTTTAGTTTGTAAAACTGATGTTTTATTTTAAATTTTTGAGTAAGGGACACAGTCCTTATACTGTGTACTGTATATAATATATCCTATACTATACTGTACTGTTTTTAGGTCTATTAGGAAATGTAATTTCTTATACATGTAAAAATCTACCTCCCACATACAAAATAACCTAAAAAAGAAGCAAAAATTCAAAATAGGAGATCAAATATGTTTCTAAGTTTTATAAATTTAGATTAGTAAAAAAAATATATATATATATAAACACATTTAAGATCTTTAATATATTCTATATATTATATACAAATAAGTGTATTATTATAGGTGGAGGCTGTAAGTAGGAGACACAGGGAATAATGATTCAGACTGCTGACTTTATAAATGCAATTTGATATATAAAAAATCTGTGGTGCCAATTAATAAATTAAAAAATGATATCATAGGATTTTTCTGAGTCATGTATATTTGAGAATCAATTAATTTTATTTTTATACAACACACAAATTAAGTTTGCTCCTAATAATNAAGATACCATACAATCATGTATTAGTTACTTCGCATTATTATTACATAATATACTTCATTTTTTGAAAATTACTAACAAATTCTAAAAAGTTTATCAGATCTTTCACTTTCCATGTTTAATATAATTATGACATCCTTCTCTGAATATATTCTGTTTCATTATATTTTAATTCTTCCAGAAGTCTCATATACATAAGGGTAATGGTTAATACAGTAGTTACATTCTTTGAGTGTAATGCATTGATGAACTTGTATTACAGCAATGAGCATATCTTCAGAACTGATATTAGACTGAAAAAATGGTGTATAGTATGAAAATTGTCTTTAAAAATTTATTTGTGATGCCATTTATTAAGTTATAACACATCTGTTGTCACTCCTCCCACTGCAACCACAATTCTACAGCTCTTGCAGATTACTCATGTTACATAATGACGAGCAATTCTGACTTTGTGAACCACTGAACACATGCCTTCTCTTTTGTGGAGTTGCCATTTTTGTTCATGGCACTTCCTAGAGATAGTAGATAAAAGGATGTTTGATTGCAGATGGGAGATGAAACTTGGACAGTTACTCTATCAATCACTATGCATCATAACATATGCACCACAGATGTTCATTGCCCTTCTTAGATAAGGTTTTAACCTCTGAAACTTACAGCGTATCGAATAAACACAATTTCCTGAAATTAAATGTAATTTTTTTCAATGGTGAGATTTATATTTTTCTTCAGAAATAATTCAAAATGAGATTGCTGCTCATAACAAAAAAAAATTTTTGAATGTGGAAGTAATTTATTAGATATTCAATGGATATTTTAGTTATTTTCCTTTTTTTATTTTTTGAGTGTTAGTTTTTTGGTGTATCTTATCAATAAAAAATGGTAATGTAAGCATAATAATGAAGTTGGATATCATAGGATTTTTCTGAGTCATGTATATTTGAGAATCAATTAATTTTATTTTTATACAACACACAAATTAAGTTTGCTCCTAATAATAAAATTTAAAAAATAAAATTTAATTTAATGTATTTATGGAATCTGCACTTCTTCTCTATGAATAAATATCTTACTTTTTTTTTTTTTTTTAATATTTATATTTCTTAGAAGCTGTATACAGTTTCTCCTTTCCCATTGTGATGATAATAACAAGGCCACTCACAATGGACAGTTTACATCTGTTCTGGAATTTACAACCCTAGCAAATTTTCTTCAAATCTTGCAATTTAAATTTGTAAAGAATACCATTGTATATGGTTACATAGTAAAAATGCTATGGCAATAAAAAATATTCCTGTGATTGTATTGTATCGGAGTTGAGTTACCTTGAAATGCATTAAGATAGTGAATTGATACAAATGCACAATAGAAAATTGCTCTTATTAATTTACAGTAATAAAGAAATCTTTGAATAATTATCTTTTCTAAATTAAAGATTTTTAAAGTAAGATATTTAAAATAAATAAATCAATTAATGTTTAAAAATTTTATTTTGATATATTGGATTCTATAAATTATTATTATTTAGTTTTTTATTATGTGTATATTACTTTAGAGAATTTGACTTGCCAAATTATCTGTTCCATTATATTGAATTCAGTTTAACAATATAGTTTAATCCATAGAACCATTTTAATAATTTGTTTAAAGTGCCGTTTGAAATCCTTTCGTGTATTATCTGTAGTGCAAAGTATTGCAATTTAGGGAAATTAATGCATTAAAGTATTATATTTGCTTAATGTAATATTACCGAAAGAATACGATATATTCAACATGTATTTGCTTTCCTTTTTTATTTATTAAGTGTACATTTACGAGGATTAAAAATTGATCCTATTAAAATATTTACTTAATTATCTCATTATTACCTTATTTTCAAGTATGAAAATTGTATTTATGTCCAGATTAATTTGGATCCTATCAAATTATTTTTTAAACCGTGCCATTCTGTACCAAATCGACTATGAAATAAATGGAATAAATATAATTTTTTAAGATTGGAAAATAAATTTGTATTAATAATGTGTTAGATTTTTGTTACTGTATTTTAAAATGCTAAACTTTTACCTTGAAACCTGTTTGGCCTGATAAATGAATAACCGAAATGGAAAAGGCACCGGAGCCTCGGAAATTTCACGGACGGCTTGACTCGGACAGGTCAAATCCCCCTTCGCCACTCGGTTGCCCCAACGTGGATCTGGCTGATCAATGATAAGAATGAAAAAAGTGCCTTCTTAATGCCTACAAGGGAGGGGGGAATTTAAATCAAATTGGTTTTTTTTAAATCTATTTTTGCATATGAATTTTTTTTTCGTCTTTTTCTAAGTTAATTTTCTCAAGTGCACATTTTTAAATATTGAATTGTTTCCAGAAAGAAAAATAAAGGATTGAAAGAAAATGATAAACGGGGGAAAAAAGAAGATTAGCAATCTCAATATGCACAAAATCCATTTTTCTAAATGCTATTCAGCATTCAAAAAATGACTAGGAAAGCACCAAAGGAAATCCGGTTTAAATATTTAGACTGGAACAAAATATTAACAGTTTTTTAAAGTAAATAATTTAAGATTGAATTCTATTTTATAATAAAAAGTTAAAAAAAAAAATTAACAATTTTGTAAGAGTATGTTTAATAAAGAGTAGGAATTAATAAAATCATATAAACATCTGATAACAATCAGATGAATAATTGCATACACTTAATATTGTTCTCATTATTTTAATGAATAAATTTAGAATAAATTTTTAGATTTGTTTTATCATATGTGGCTACAGAATAGAATAGAATTTAGTTTTTTAAAGTTAGGGTCTTGCACCAAAAAATTATTAAGATAAGGTGTGCCAAGCATTGGTAGGAAGGATAAATATAAAGACAAGACATGGAAGTGATGAATAAGATACAGAATATAATGTGGGCACCTCATACATTTGCACAATATTTGTAACTGTTGATGTTAATTCGTGTCGTACTTAATCTTCGGTGCAAATCAATGTCACGCCGGGTCATATAATTACCTAAAAATATTTTCAAAAGTTATAATTTATTATTAACTTGTTTACTTTACGAAGCAGTATTCGTAACTTAAATTTGTTTAGTATAATTTTATTATCTAAAAGCAATCAGTAGAATAGCTGTTAAAGATTGTAGTTAAATATTAATGTCATTTCATCTATCATAATTAAGAGGAAAATTTTTACAAAATATAATTTCTGTAAAGAAGATGAAATAATAATTTTTTAAGTTTCTGTGTTTGTTGTGTGATTTATTAATAATATTTTTTTAAAATATGTTTTTCAAGTCTAAAATTTGTTTAACATTACAGGATTAAAAGCTTATTTCTTCAAGTAAATGTTCCTGTGAAAGTAACATAAATGTATTTGTGATAATCATGTGTTATGTCATTGTGACATCCCGTACGCTATTATGGACACTTCTTACCATAGCTACAACATTAGCTATGGTGGCGGCGGTCATTACACCCAGCTGGCTCATCGGAGCTCCAAGAAAGCCGGGTCTCAGGACAAGACAACAACTTCTGGTTCGCAGTGATTTTAACAATAACGAGTTATTCTCTCCGACCTTAGGTAACGACTTTCGTTAAAAAATCTCTCTTAAGTTTAGCTTGCTGCAATCTGTAAACGATACCGAATCAATTTAATTTAATTAGAAATTAAATCAACACATATTGATTTTTCAGGTATTTATAATCGTTGTACCAAACTTCACGAGATTAATCAACTTTTTACCGATAACTGTGCTCCTTTTGTAACAAGTTTTGGTATGCCATCTGACGATTTTCCCAATTTTTGGAAAGCGGCGCTCGTTTTCTTTGCTTGCGGCTTAGTCTTGATGATTTTTACCGTCTTCACTTCTCTTCTGGGATGCTGTATTCGAAGTATAGTGAGGAAAAGCATTTTTACAATCTCAGGGACCATTCAGGCAATTGCTGGTAAGTTTAATACAGTATTTAAATTTTTAAATAAAAATGTTTTAATTATCAATGCTAATATCAAAATTTACAGAAATCTTATGTACTATATAATTATTATTATAGATTATATATAAAAACATATGCACCACAGATGTTCATTGCCCTTCTTAGATAAGGTTTTAACCTCTGAAACTTACAGCGTATCGAATAAACACAATTTCCTGAAATTAAATGTAATTTTTTTCAATGGTGAGATTTATATTTTTCTTCAGAAATAATTCAAAATGAGATTGCTGCTCATAACAAAAAAAAATTTTTGAATGTGGAAGTAATTTATTAGATATTCAATGGATATTTTAGTTATTTTCCTTTTTTTATTTTTTGAGTGTTAGTTTTTTGGTGTATCTTATCAATAAAAAATGGTAATGTAAGCATAATAATGAAGTTGTTCATCAATTACAAACATACTATATATATATATATTCATACATAAATTTTTTACAAATGTACAAAATATTTACTTAGATTTAATTTACAAAGAAAACAAAGTCACAATCACTTTAACTCTTTCTGCCCTACGGGTACTATAGAAGGCTTTTTTAGCAAGTCCATTTTGAGTTCAACCAGACCCATAATGGGCATTGTGGCTTGACATATCCAGATGGACTACCCCTAATAAATTCCTGGAGTTTTTTGACTTGTCCAAATTCAATCCCAAGACCCCACAGAAGTAGGCTACCAATCTAAATGTTAGCCACGATTGATAGCAAGATGGCCAAAATTTGCCGTGTAAATGTTTTATACTTTTCTTTAGTCAGTAATAAATAAATGAAACAATGTTCACACAATAACCTTCCAATTACTTTAAACAAACAACATAGACAATTGTCTATCATATATGTCTGTTATTTGTGATGTCAGAGGTTAAAACTGCACCAAACTGGACTTGCATAGCTGATATATCCTGCTAAAAGTAATTTTGGTATGATACATTCATGCATATAATATATAATAAATGTTTAATGATATTTTGAAATAATGTTGTTTTTTTATAAAAACATGCCAAATCATCATTTAGACATACAGTACTAAGATTCTTGAGATATAATAGTTGTGTAATGCTATCTTCTTTGTAATACAATCTATTCTATTTAATAAATGCATGTTCTATTTGGCTATTGATGATAACACTTTGTTCTATTGAATTCTCTTATTAATGTATTATAGTTCTAAAAATATCTTATGTATAATAAAAGCACTATAGTAGATAAGAATTCAATAAAAATTACATCACTACAAATAGTTAAATAGATTAGTATCGTATCGCAATACAGTTAATATTACACAATGATCGTATCTCAAGAATCTTAGTACTGCTCATCTAAATGATGACTTAGCATTTTGCAATAAGAAATATTTTACTTTTTCTTTCAAAAACAACCTCATTACTTTCAAAATAACTAAGAAAATATTCTTAATAATTTCTTTCAATTAAATTATCTTGCATTATGAATTATATATCAAAATTTGAATTGATGTTCTATGAATATAAACGTCCAAAAAAAGTAAAAATATTGTTCTAATAATTATAAAAGCATCTATTATGTTAAAAAATATTTATTTTTTTGAAATATTTAAAAAGTTTTTAGAAGATTGAAGTATTTTATTGTTAATAAGTAATTTTTCTATTGAGAAAGTTATAAATATTTTTATAAATATAAAATAATAAAAAATTAAAACATGATAAACCAAACAATTCATATATTTTTAAATAACAACAAAGTTTAATGTTTCTAGTAGTATACAAAACTTTAAATTTTTATTATTTAAAATTTTAGTTTATACAATTCTTGTTTGCCAATTTTTTTTTTAGATGAAATGATCAGATAGATTATGAAAATTACAGATGAAGGACAATCTTTATTTATAACTTCCTAATTCTTTCACACATTTATATAACTTGTAGTGGTTGTTTATTTTTATTTTTATGATTCACAAAGAGTGCTTAGTTGAGAGGCATTCCTAATGCAATGATTCATAGCTATTTTGTCAAAATAACTGGTTAAGTAGGATAATTAATTTAGGTACTGCATAACCAAAGTGATAATTCTTTTAATCAATATCTTAGTAATGACTTTCATAGGGTGATAAATATAAGTTATTAATCAATATTTTTATAATTTAAACATTTTGATAAAAGTTATATCTGTTTTTTTTTTGTTAAGATACCATACAATCATGTATTAGTTACTTTGCATTATTATTACATAATATACTTAATTTTTTGAAAATTACTAACAAATTCTAAAAAGTTTATCAGATCTTTCACTTTCCATGTTTAATATAATTATGACATCCTTCTCTGAATATATTCTGTTTCATTATATTTAATTCTTCCAGAAGTCTCATATACATAAGGGTAATGGTTAATACAGTAGTTACATTCTTTGAGTGTAATGCATTGATGAACTTGTATTACAGCAATGAGCATATCTTCAGAACTGATATTAGACTGAAAAAATGGTGTATAGTATGAAAATTGTCTTTAAAAATTTATTTGTGATGCCATTTATTAAGTTATAACACATCTGTTGTCACTCCTCCCACTGCAACCACAATTCTACAGCTCTTGCAGATTACTCATGTTACATAATGACGAGCAATTCTGACTTTGTGAACCACTGAACACATGCCTTCTCTTTTGTGGAGTTGCCATTTTTGTTCATGGCACTTCCTAGAGATAGTAGATAAAAGGATGTTTGATTGCAGATGGGAGATGAAACTTGGACAGTTACTNAAAGACGGTGGTAGCATGGTGTTTTTTTTTTTATCAGACCTTCAGACTCGTTCCGTACCTAAACCATTATATTCTGTTGACACCAAACGGCAGCAACCCGCTAACGGGCCCCATATCAAACACTTACTTCCGTGATTGATTCGAGGGGCCTCACGAACGGGTCACGTTTCTCGTGTCACGATACGGCATTTTTATCGGAGTCGCATTCCCCGTTTCCCCCATACGAAACTTAAAAAGATTTTAAGCTATAAATTTAAGATAAACCGAAACTACATAAGTCCCCCCCCTTCTAAGGTTTACTGTCCATTAGAATCGACTTACGTTAACATCGTTAATACCCTCCCAAAAAAAGGGGGATCAGAGCGATCAATTAAAACGAAATAGGCAGGAAATTTGGGAGTGTAAGAGGGCGAGGTAAGGAATTTAATTTCCATTCACAAGAGTGTGGCCATGGCTAAGTATTTTAAGTATTTTTCTCCTCTATTCCGTCCAAGATTGAACTCGTACCAATTTTAAAAATAGCTTCCCACATTAAAAAAAAAAAGGAGGGCGAAAAATTCGGTTTGGGGGGTTTTTATACCGGTTGCTGTCCCTTTTAATGTAATTTTACTGTAATTACACTATCAATTTTCACCTCGGTGTTACCGGAAGGAGACAGAAAAAAGGGGGAGGAGGAGAAGTCGACTGCCAAACATGGTACAAAATTTGACTTGCTAATGCCCAGTCAAGTACTCTTCTCCGTATTCAAATATGTTAACAAACCATCAAAAAATGTCATTAATTTCGCGCGAAAAAGTAGTTTTAGAAATTTCAAATTTGTTCATTGTTTTGCATTAATTGTAAGTTTTAATAAAGTAAAAATGAGAGTTATATTGAGTGCTTTCCTCCCTCCTTCCAAGGGCATTTCGATCGATTAAAAAGTTAAATTTTATTCTTCCAGAATAAAAATACGTCTATTAATTTAAAAAAATAAAAAACAAATACAGATTCTAGATAAACCTATTTATCTAGAATCGAACTAATTTGAAAACGACGACCAATCAGAAAATCGTTTAATTTCAACGGTTTGAAATAATAATAATCCATTTTATTGTTGTTATTCTCTTAACTTATCCGCAATTGGATAACGATCTGTATTTATTCTTTTAATAAAACGTTTAAAATTATGACGATAAATTACACTTTGCAACGATCATTAGCTTAATCCTATTGAGTTACTAAACTAACAAGGGGACAATAACCTCGTTGTAAGAGAATCCTGAGGGGCCCCTTCTTTTGCCCAATTGTCAAATTTCAAATGTACTGTGGGAATATAATGTGTTATCTAGTTATCGAAGTGTGATGATACAGCAAAAACCAATTAGATCCTTGTAGAAGGAACTAGAGAAGAAGAGAGAGAGAGACTCGATTTTATGTTTCCTCCTCGGTTTGCCGTCAATAAAACGAAACAAAAGCACTCATTCTCTCCCCCCTTATTTTCGATTGATTTATATATTTATACAGGTTTATAACTTTTAAAAATTATGTTGAACGTTTAGTAAATTGTGTGGCATACGTCGTGATTTATGGTAGATTTGCTATTTATGTTCGAGGGCATTTAGAGAAATTTATTAAAAGTGCTTCCCTTAAACGAATGCTTTGTTTCTTGCCATATTTAAAAGGGAGGAGATTTAAAAATATATTTTAAAAATCGATCGGTGGGTTTGTAGTTAAATGACTGTTTGTACAGTATATGAAAGGAGTTTTCGTGTCGAAAAATGGCAGAGATCCAAGGCAATTAACTCATTAAACATAGAACGGAGCTTTAAAACACGTGACGTGGAGTTAAATAATCGACAAATAATTGGCATCGAAGCGAGGGGAAGATATAAACCTTTTGTCTACTTCACAAAAGATCCCGCGGTCTAACAGTCAGAACACGAGAATAATCGATAGAACGTGTACAGTACGTTACTTGCCAATTGTATAAAGGTTGTTGAATATCCTATTAGCCTCTTCAATCAAGTGTAAATGGGGGGGGGGGAAGAAGAGTTGATTCGAGTTTTCGTCTTACCGACTTTCGTTTCGTGTTTATAAAACACATAATATCGTAAGGTGCGATGTGTCATTTCCGGTCTTCTTTGAACCCCCCTCTCAACACCCACACCGGTTACGAACTTTAATAAAATACTTTCGCGCTATTGACGGGTTTAGTAAATAGGGGGAGGCTTGACAGAACGTGACTTGGAATATTTCTATAAATTATAAATTGAACAGAAGTTGTCTCCGCATCTTGTTAGAAGATTTTCAGAATAAAATTTTCTACAGAAATTAAAACATATTTAAAGAAAGAATTTTTACGGATTAAATCTGTAAAATGTTGGTTTTATTATTATTAATTATTATAAAAAGGCAAAATTCCTTTTTAAAAAATCTCACAACAATGATGCCATACACAATTTTCAATTTAAACTTAAAAGGGTTAAATTTGGAAATTTTAAAAAAGTGAATATTATATTATTACAGAGGATTTATTATTTAAAATAAGGATGAATAAATTTAAATACATTTTATTTTTCCATTAATGTATCTGTCATTTTGAATGATTTACAAATAACATATACATGTAATTTGATGAAGGTTGTTATCTGATATGGAAGTAGGGAACATGGATCCTTTGCATTATATTTTAGACATTGGATATTGTTAATCAGATACTCTTAAGAAAGTATAGAATATTTTTAATGCAAATACTATCAAATAACATTGTTAGAATATTATAAACAAAAAATTTTAATTTAAAATATTCTTTTCTATATTCATTTAAATTAATAATAATGATTTAATGAAGTGTTGAATCAAGGAGTTTCAGTAGCAAAACTAGTTATTTCATATTACTTATAAATTATGTGAAGGTTGAGTTCGAACCTTTCAATTGCCTACAGGCAGAAAGAATAAAAAGACTTAAAAATTGATATTTTTAAAATACGGCAATTATTTAAAAACAATAAAATTAGTTTGAATAAAATTTATTTAATAATTAAAAGCAGTTCTTGATTAGAAATTATTATTTTTTTGTTTAGTTTTAATCCAATATTAGTATAAAAATACTATTACATACTGAAATTATAAAGTATTTCCNAGTAAAGTGTCGGTTATCCGAAAGAATTCCAGTCGGCCTAAAGTATAATTTTTATTTGTTTTTATATTTTTCAATGTATTTATTTCGTTTGTAAAACATAAAGAAATCATTTTTAATGATACAATAGTCACAATTATTATTTTAAAAAGTTTACGTTAGGCTTAACATCGACAAAAACTCAACGCGAAGCGACACGCAATGGAGAAAAATTTCAACACGGGATAGGTTAATATATTTTTTCGTACATAATCGGTTATCCGAACAACCCGTCCCTAATTCATTTGGATAAATGACGCTCTACTGTATTTCCTTTCCCATTAGCTGAAACACACAAAATGCACAATGAACTGCACTTCAATCTGATTTTCCATTAAGAAGAAAGCTTTAATTAATGGTATATTTCATAGTATAATTAGGTTACATAACTGACATGTTGTTCAAAATAGCTAGAAATTGATAACAGAAAGAGCTGCAGAACAAAGAACAAATAAATTCTTTTAAATCTGATGCGGTTACTGCTAAATTAATCAGTTATATATTTAAATTAATCTAATAACTTATTGCCAAGATTTATGTTGTTTTTTTTTTTTAAATTTCAAGCAAACTGCTAAAAAATTTTTAAAATTAATTTTATTATGTAAAGGTTTACTGTATATCCTTGGTTTGGTATTATATCCTGCTGGATGGGGAAGTCGACGTGTTCAGCTTATCTGTGGAGAAAAAGCAGAGCCATACGTATTTGGCGACTGTACGTTAGGTAAGATTTTATATACAGTACTATTTTTTAATTTTTCACTTTAAGAATACAGAATGCTATTATCAGTTGATCAAATGAATTTCTACTGTTTGTCCGTAATGGCTATAAAGCTGGCATAAAACTACTTGTTGTTTAGACTTGCATTGCTTTTGTAATATTTAAATTTCTTTAATTACATAACAAAATAAACAATATACTGTAATTAACCTTAAAACTAAGCATCACTCCAAAATAACACTATTTAATAGAATACTTTTGGAACATTAATTAAATTAGTTCAAATATTTAAAAATATTAAAAGGTTAAACTGTTTCTTTTAAGAAATTCATAAAAGCAAAATAAAAATTGTAATTACATGAGAGTAAGCTTAAATGAGGAAGCATTTTTCTTCCTCAACTGTTATATGCTTTCCCTATATTATATTCTATATGATAATCAGTTGAATTTTGACACTGTAGAGGCCAAAACTGTAAAAAGACCCTTACAAAATTCTGTGTGCACAGCATTATTTTGCATTCACAGGACTGGAAGAACCATAAATTTTGAAACTTGGCAGGATTACTTCAATATATGGAATAATACTATTAAATTTGATGGTTAAAAATCAAGGGAGTTAGTCCAGTCACAGGTCATATCTTGAATGGGATTAAAGTTAATGAAAATTTTAATTACTACTGGCATTTAAACCTTTTAAAGACTCATCCACCTCCGAGAGTAAGGCTTTTTATATTATTAATTATTATAAAAAGGCAAAATTCCTTTTTAAAAAATCTCACAACAATGATGCCATACACAATTTTCAATTTAAACTTAAAAGGGTTAAATTTGGAAATTTTAAAAAAGTGAATATTATATTATTACAGAGGATTTATTATTTAAAATAAGGATGAATAAATTTAAATACATTTTATTTTTCCATTAATGTATCTGTCATTTTGAATGATTTACAAATAACATATACATGTAATTTGATGAAGGTTGTTATCTGATATGGAAGTAGGGAACATGGATCCTTTGCATTATATTTTAGACATTGGATATTGTTAATCAGATACTCTTAAGAAAGTATAGAATATTTTTAATGCAAATACTATCAAATAACATTGTTAGAATATTATAAACAAAAAATTTTAATTTAAAATATTCTTTTCTATATTCATTTAAATTAATAATAATGATTTAATGAAGTGTTGAATCAAGGAGTTTCAGTAGCAAAACTAGTTATTTCATATTACTTATAAATTATGTGAAGGTTGAGTTCGAACCTTTCAATTGCCTACAGGCAGAAAGAATAAAAAGACTTAAAAATTGATATTTTTAAAATACGGCAATTATTTAAAAACAATAAAATTAGTTTGAATAAAATTTATTTAATAATTAAAAGCAGTTCTTGATTAGAAATTATTATTTTTTTGTTTAGTTTTAATCCAATATTAGTATAAAAATACTATTACATACTGAAATTATAAAGTATTTCCATCTTACTTAACAAAATTAAAGTGAATAATGGCAATTAATTATTTAAAAAAAATTGTGTGTACAAATAAATATCTTATAAATATTAATTTCAAATAAGGAATTAGAGAGCTAGTACATGAAAGAAGTGTTACTTCTCTCTCATATTTAAATAAGTAATTTGTTTCTTTTTAATAAACAAAAAACAATCTATTATTAATAATTAAATGCTCAAGGAATCTATTGATTTCACAGGGGGAAAAAGATATAAATAACTAATAAAGTAAAGATTAAAAAAATTAAAAATTGTATTGACAAATTTCATGAATCATCATTTATTAACAGATTTTGTTGTTTTCTTACAGAATAATTTTATAATCCTTCCAAAAGTCTCCCCCTTTGGGAATTTAAAAATGCAATAATGAATTTTGCCAATTATTAAACTAAAACTGGGAAAAAAAGAATTTATCCATTTATAGTAAATTACAGAAGCTTGTATTATTCTAAAGGAATCATTTTTCTGGATGAAAAAGTTCGTTACATAGTACATTATTAATAATATATAATCATGGAAGAAAATATCCACACAAAAGATGAAAAAAATTATGATTAATGTTAATAATTAATTCTGAAATATATATGCTTAAAATTATAATTTGAAAAAATAATTATCCCTCTTTTTTTTAAGAAAAATAATCTTTGAAAGTCATTTTCACTTATTAAATTGTGTTTGTGCGATCTTTATATATTTAAGATAAGTATATTTTGTTATAATTAAATTAGCGGTACTAAAACTAGATTTTTTCTTTTGACTTGCTCTTCACTTGATTTTAAATTTAGCAAAATTATTTGTTCTAAGAATTCTTAAATTTAGCAAAATTATTTGTTCTAAGAATTCTTAAATTTTATAAATTTATTGTCTTTATAAATTATCAAAGAAAATCATATGAAATTTATTATTAATAGGTTGGGCATTCTATCTGGCCATCGGAAGTACCATCATCACTTTTTTATGTTCGGTACTATCGGTTCAAGCGGAGATATCGACATCCAGCGATAAAGTGCAGGACGAAATTCTAGAAGGGAAAAACCTCATCTGTCTTATATAATTCTCTCTGATGTGATGTAAATGTTATTAATTAGATATTGTATTCAGTAAGTGTACTTAGGCAGCTATTCCTGCAAATCTTTTGTAGGTTTAGTTGTACAGTGTTTCAAGAGATAGTTGGGAATATTATTTTTTTTGAAATCTTTATCATTTTAAAATTTTCTATGATTGTGTGTTTATTACTATTATATTTGGTATGTAAACACACACCCACTATAAAAATATTCATTTTTGTAAGTAAATTAAATGCAGTACGTAACTTCAAAGAAGTAATTTTTTTGATAAATATTTAACTTTAAGTTGCAAATTTAATTTAACTAGCTTAAACTCATTGTTTCATAGGAATCTTGGTTGCTGTAAAAATTGAATCTAACTTTAAAATACAGTCAATTATTTAGAGAAAACATATTTAAAATGTCTGCATATCATCCTCTAACTCCCTATTTGGATTAATTTAAGTTTGTTTAATAAATTAAATTATATAATTTATGTTTATATTAGCCAAAAAGGCATACTCTTATTTCTATAAGGAATCTGTGCCCAAATCTAATCCAGTGTCTTTTAATTTTTCATGAGTATTTGAGGTTATCATCATCCCCATCATTTATCTATGGATAAACAATGGGCATATGACTATAGTGGATTGGAATTTTGCATCCAATTCTATTGGATAAAACTTTTATCCAGTAGAATTGGTTTCTTGCTTTAAAAATTATTGCTGAGTTTTTGTTTTATTTCATTTAAGCTTAAAAAAAAATGAATTTAAAACAAGGTTGATTACTTAAAATCAAACATATTTTATGACACTTCAAAAATTACATTTATAAATTGCTCCTATTTAAATTTTCTAAAGATTTTTTTTTTGCTAGATTTAATTATTCTAACATAATATTCTCAAACTGTCTCAACAGAAAATTGGTGTCAAGAACAGTTGTGAAAAATTTCCAAATATAGTTTGAGCATGTAATGGTGAAGTATATTCCAAAACAAACCAAAAAATAAAATATAATTGCTCATAAACTGAGATATTACCATTTGATGGTAACACTGTTGCAAGTTTAAAATTTTTTTTTCCTATTTTTAGTGTTGTTGTTATGATATTTGTTGACGATTTTCAATTCAGAAAATTTGTATTTCGTATATACCCACTTTAGATTGAAAGGTAATATAGTTTGATATGAAATATTTTCATTGTTGTTAAAATATTCAGATCATTCTATATTATATGTATATATTTACATACATTATTATAAATGTATTAACTTTTTTCTTAATTTTTACACCAACTAAAAATAATTAGAAATATATGACCAGAAAAAAAAAATATTCTTTTAAACAATTTTGTGATGTAGTAAATGTAGTCACAATTTCTAAAAGTGACAATTGTGTAATTTTTTCATTGTTTATAAGTGATGTCATTTTGTAAAATAAAATTTAATTTAAATTTACCAGGATATTAATTTGATCAGTTGTCTGTTTTTCAGATCATATCATAATTTGAGGTATCAGAAATATTTATGATTTAAAAAACATTCCATGAATTTAGGTTGGGGATTGCCTTAATTCAAGAGAATCTTTTGATAATTTTATGGTTTTTGTGTAGTAACAAAAAGTGATCATATAAAGCCTAATGCAAGAAAAAATTATTTAGAATCTATCTTCTGTATCTGAATGTCATTCCATTCAGAAAATCTCAGTATGATAATTCTGGAAAAAATGAGCTGTAAATCAGCATATTGTATATGTACTTGATTAAATTTAAAAAAATTGAACCCACATGTAAATTTGAATCAAATTTTCTAAGCTACAAATTACTGTAAATATAATTTTGAATAGGTTAACTACTGATAATGAATGTGTGACAATAATTAACAGAGTTAGCAGCCTAACTGCCTACTTCTAGACAAATTACCTTTGTATATAAGTAATTTCTTCTATAATTAGGCAAATTTTCATCTAATTTTCTATAATATAATTATAGAAATTATAGTAGTATGACCAAAACCAGATGAACAACTAATAACTCAGATCATCTTGCTTATTACACATTTTTTGTCTGTTACTTTTTAGAATTATTTTCTTGATTTTTTTTTCATTTAGCAACCACAGCACCACCTCTCACACCAATGCACATGAAAAATAAAAGATAAATCCAAACTTCAAATTCTGTTAAAAGAAATTCACAGTGAGTACTCAACTGCATACAGTAATTTGCTTGTTAAAAAGAAGTTTGTTGTAAAGAGGAGAATAAGGTATTTCAGTTTTAATTTTTTTTTTTAATTTACAAAGAAATTTACTTCTAATTGGTTGATAATCTTTTTCCTGAAAATCCCTTTTTAAAATTGAGAGAAAATCTTAAATTCAAAATATAGTAGTAGTAATATACAAAATGATGGATTACTAGAATAAAAAGCAAAATGCACTCTTTATGATGTAATTCTATATAAAAACAAGAATCAATTTTTAAACCGTTTTGCTGAAATTTTAGTATATAGTAAAATGTATTTAAAATTACATGTTATAAATGTATTTTTGTTTTTCTTCTTTACTTGCACATTAGCTTAAAATAACTGCCAGAAAACAATACAGATAGAATAAATTTTGACACAGATGGCTTTATCTGTATAAACACTCAACCAAAAGCTTATGATTTTTCATAAACTGATAATATATACTATTGCAACTGCCATTTGAAAACTGTGTACTCCTAGCAATATAAAAAAATAAAATTCGAAATGTTTAAGCCAGATGATATCCTAATCACAGCACAATAAGCTACATTACTATATATCTAATCATTAACTACCTACTTTCAGACAAATTATCTTATGGTGGTGATAATTTAGAATTTCTGGAAGAAAAGAATTAGCCCAATAATTTGGTAGATTGGCTTTGTCAACAACTCCTCAATAAACCCAATTTTTGATTACATTTCAATTTGTCATGACATGATAATGAGAAATACAGTGTCTTTAATGTAACTTGTGCTTTTTAAGGACATAACTAAACAATGTATGTTGAACACCAATTTTCCACTGAACTAGTGTATTATGTGGGAGTTATAAGTTCAAAATTTTTAGTCTGGAATATATGGAAATATTTAGGCTATGAATAAGAAATAGTTATTTTATTGCACAATAAATTAGTTTATGATAATTACTAAATTATAATTATATTATTCTGTAAAATACACTTTTAAAATGTTTTTGTTTTATTAATACTTTCAATAAAGTAATAAAAATAAAGAAGTTTAACAGGAACATACATAAATGTGTTTAATTAGATGGTGAACTTGATATGGCACAAATTTATTCAATGATGTAGGGTGAGGACCTGTATACCTATGTCTGACTTGTGGGTTTGTTTTATCAACTGTTGCATAAGTGACAAAAATATCCTAATGCAATGCAATTACAGACCAGGGTAAGTTTACAGGTTAAGAAGTGATGGCTTAAGTGAAAAATCTAAAATAATGCTTATTCAAGCAAAACAAAAGAAAAATCCGTAACATCTAAACTTCTATTTCCTGAGGAATTTCTGCTCTAGGTTCTAGGTGCAAAACAGTAATGTATTTTTTATTATTTGTAATTTTAATTCATCTTTACAAAATTTAAACATGAATTGAATTAAATTTGATGGAAATGCATATATATTTATCAGCATAATAAAGTGCACTTTCACAAGTAAAAAAACAGTATGATTTAAGGAAGAAATTGAGGATTGTCTTGGTAAGAAGTCCTTATAGAATGCAATGTATCAGTGTGTGAATTAATTTGGCACCTAAAATATTTGACTGACTTCTTGTAAATTATTGGATGTTCTCTTCCCACCAAAAAAGTAAGCTTTCACTGAAATATTTCATATCAGTAAGTCAATGAAATTAGATATTTTTATATAAACTATATTGATATGTAAAATGATAAGCTTTATTAAATAAATAATATACATACACACACACTTTTTTTTTCATTGGAAAAATAATATACAGATCAGATGTACAAAAATACTTTTGGGTTCTTCAAAAGTCTAACTGTAAATCTGAAAATGCTTGAGTACATCCAATTTACGGTTTGTTTTTTGTTCCACAAATGTATGATTTGATCAAAATCAAATTTTGATCAGATCATTTATAATCTTATCATGAAAGTTATTGAAAAATATGCTTATTTAATTTGTTTTATCACAGTAAATTTTAATTTATTATGTTTTCTTTCAGTTTTAAATATAAAATTTTTATTATCTTATGTTTTTAGTGTGTATTTTTGAGATTAGCATTATATATAAAGCAGCATCTATAAATTTATCATATTTATCAAATTCTATTTTGATTCATACCTTGCAATTGAATTTAAATCCATTCTATTCATAATACAAACATAAATCTAAAAACAAATTACAACACAGTAATATCCTGAACTTATGCGATAGGTGGGACCAAGCGATAACTGTGTAAGTCGAATTCGTGTAAGTCGGGATACAATTTCGCAATTTATGTAAAATCCAGGTCGGATGTATGTAATAAATGTTCTCGTTAATCTTATCTCGTCTTTTGATTTGTTCACGGTTACAAGAAATCACCACACAGAGTCTCTCAAGTGTCCGCAGATATAACAAATACAGAAATAAATAACACAAAATAAATTGTAGCTATGTGTTGATTTAGCGTGACACATCTGAAGATGTAAGCTGAACAATAGTGTGGGGGGAGTGAGTAATCAAGAGTTGTGTGACGCTCAAACAAAAGACGAATCAACGAGAAAATCACGTAACTCCGGGTTCACATAAGTTGGGGTAGCATAAGTCAAGGTATTACTGTATTATAATTGGTTTTTATCTTATTTTAAATAGTTTGCTTAGTCAAATTACTTTCTCATTCCAAAAAAATATTTCTAAACTTTGTTTTATGCAAAAATATAAACAGATTCATTAAAAATTGTATAGAATGCCGGTCCAAACCAGAGATTGGGCTGCAACTCAAAAAAAAAAAAAAAAAAAAAAAAAAAAAAAAAAAAAAAAAAAAAAAAAAAAAAAAAAAAAAAAAAANAGTTAAATTAATATGCCTGAATGTCCTTAATTTATTCAAATATTATTTCATTCACCAGTACAGTGTGTATTTCTATTAATAGGACTTATTAAACTGTATTAACAATATTGTTAATAGTATTTAAACTGAATTATTGTGTGGAAATTGGAATAGAAAGAAAGAACATCAAAATTAATTAATTAGATGTAGGTCCCTCTTCAGCAGGTATTTAAGTCCAAAACGCAATATGTATGTGTCCAGGTAAATGTAAATAAAACAATTTTAATCTGTGTGACTGATTTGCAGTAATCTTAAATACCAGTTTAATAAGTCCTATTAATAGAAATACACACTGTACTGGTGAATGAAATAATATTGAAAGTAACATGATTTCAATTCAAAAATTTTTTCCTGTAAGGCAACCAACACGACTATTGTTAAAGAAAAATTATGATGTACAGGAGCAAGCCACTACTAATTTGAGGTGGAGAGCATATATTTAAATTAAATAAATGTCACAATAAATAATTGCTCATAAGTTATATTTTTTCTGCATAACATTACGAAGAATGTAATCTATACATAACTTCCAAAAGCCATTTTAAAATTTGTCAATGGGGAAATAGAGGGATGAGAGATGGGCCCAATGTATGTGGGGCAGACTATCCCATAAAAATTCCTGAAATCCTGAAAGTCTCCCAGAATAGCGAGAAAATCACGACTGAGTTCATTCTCTTGATGACTGAGATGCCTTTGCCATCTCAGTCATCAAGAGAATGCATTACAAAAGTATAGTGCATATGCAACCTTATTTTTGTCAAGTCAGACATTTCCTGTATCAAGTAACATTTACACCACAATTGTCAAACAAGTTGGTGGGAACAGGTCCACAGGCCAATGTGAAAACAGTTTATCTATTGTTGATAACAGATTTCTCATACTTGGGGCTTGTGTAACTTTTTTGTGCAATGATTATTTTCATGACACAATTCACAAATCAGTATTCACAATGATTCATATACATATAATGTACAGTGCATTAATGTTTTGCAGGTGTCTAGAAACAAAGGCAATGTGCACTCATACAAAACATATGCAAAAGGATTCTCAAACTTTTTGAATTGTCAATTAGCATAGCTTTAGGTTACTAAAACTACACAAATTAATTAAATCTAAAACTTGGATATATGTGAATTAAACAATCTTATTGTCAATCCCTTGAAGGGGATTCCTCAATCATTTATCAACTCCCTCTTCCTTTTGCTAATACATATGCTAAATCTGGTGAGTCAGTATTAATCTATTAATCCAAACATTATTTTCATACAAAGGATCTACTTATGACATGCAAATATACATCCCAAACTATCATATTCTTAACTCATTGGAGTAGTAATTTTTGATTCAAGACAGTTCACTAACTTCCAAAGATGCTTTGTCTACAATGTTCACATTGCATATAACTTATTGAAATTTATGTAATTTTGCAAAATTTGATATCACGATTTTCAATAATACGGCACTACTCTCATCCTGTAGGCAAATCACCTGATTAACAAACTGCTAATGTATTACAAGTCTAGTCTAAGATAATAAATAACTTTCTAGTTCATAAGTTTAGATTTTAAATTTTTCTAGTGAAATTCTACTTACTTTTTGAGTATTGTATTTTATCAACGTTTATAAAAACTTTCATGCTTCTGGACATTTCTTGTCTACCTTTGGCATCAAATTTCACCTAAATGTTCTAAATTCCACTGAATGCTGAACTCTTTCAAACATTTCTCCTATTTAAATTCAAATTAGATTTCCACATTAAACAAGTTCAATTCCTTTTTTTTAAAAAGCATCATTTAACACATTTCTGATATCTTTCTCATTATTTTTACAAACTCCTTCCATGCCACTAACAGACACTATATTCCTCATTATGCAGGCTTTCTTTGTAAATGTTTAACTTTATAACATGTTCATATGTTACTCTACTAAGAATAAAGATGGACTTCGGGGAGCTATGATGATGATGAGAAGCAAGCAGAGATCATCATAATAGTGTTTTCCTATCCTCTCTGTATACATTTAACCATGTCAGCTAAATATCTCCAAATAGCACCAACATACCACTTTTTTGTTCCTTTTCTTTCCCATCATACTCTTCTGTAAATGTGCATCTTGGCAAGATCCAAGATGACGCTAAGATTTCTCATTTCTCAGAGTATTAAAAACTGTCCTGTTCCTCTTAAAATTCTCAGAAATGAGTATTAATATCTGCCTTAGTCTATTCTTGGGTGTTGTGGCATTACCAATATCAACTTTTAGTGTATGAAAATGTTCACTAGTACTTTCAGTAGCATAAAGTTACAGTCATCAGGTGAATATTGAATACAACAGCTATCAAATTTTATGTTTTTGAACAATATTTGAAATTAAATATAGCATGTGGATGGAATATAAAATGAATTTGAATAAAAATGATGTTCTAAAAATATATGGTAATATCATTTTTATTCAAATTCATTTTATATTCCATCCATGTGCTATATTTAATTACAAATATTGTTCAAAAATGTAAAATTCGATAGCAGTTGTATTCAATATTCGACTGATGATGGTAACTTTATGCTACTGAAAGTACTAGTGAACATTTTCATATGCTAAAAGTTGATATTGGTAATGCCACAACACTTAAGCATAGTTATTATATATTCAAAAGTTAGCCTGAAGTGTAATTTATTTTATCTATTCTTGGATCTTATCAATCTAAGAATAGACTAAGGCAGACATTAATACTATTCTGTATACATTTCCAGTAGTGTATTTCTTTCTGTTAACATCAACATAATTAAGGACAAAAAAACACACATTTTAAATTTTATATTAAATTTATAATATAATTTTAATAAATGACCACAGTTATATATAAATAACATATGAAGAAATATCTTTTCATAATATTTCAGATAAAAGATCAAGATTTCATTTGATATTTTATCAATTTCTTTGTACAAAAAGATAATGTTTCATTATAGAAATTAAGTTTTTATAATTAAAAAAAGTATTTTAAACAAAGAAATAATCAAAACAAGTTCATTTATAGATCTTTTAATATTTAATATATTAAAAACAAGTATTGAAACAGTAGATAATATTTGTGTTTCCGCAAACACAATGAAGTAAAATATACATGTGCTTCTGTACAAATATAAAACAAATGATATTCCCAATTTAGAGAACAGACTGCCTACAACTGTCAATGTTACTATTTTGGGACGAACTCACTTCAATTTCCACTAATTCAACAGCAAGAGGAAGTGAATTTTCTGATTCGCTGATAACAGTAGAAACCACATTATTATCAGGGATGATGGAAGTCACTGGGACACTATTTGTTGTGTTCAGAGACACTGTGGTCACTGAAGACACTATAATAGAATACATTATATTAAGTCTTTGATGACAAATTTATATTAAAAATTCATTTAGCAATGTATCTTTTCACAATTAGAAAAGAATTAATTTACCAGTATATATTACATGTAACACTATAAAACAATAGACTTCAGTTTCTTGAAGAATTTTCTCACAATTTCATGCTAGTGAACTATTTACATTTTTAAATGCATACAGTAACAATTAAATTTGATTCTATAGATGTCATAAACAAATTATTTTATGTATAAGGACAAGATATAATGAGAACAAGTATGATACCAAAGCTGAATATAATTTTAATATATTCAAACAGTTACAATTCTGTAACTTATAATAAATCAATGTTGAATAATTTTCAAAACATAATATTAATTAAACAGAACTCCATGGGAAGACATTTGATATCTTGTTATGAAACTGAAACATAATTTTTTTCATGTAAAGGTAATTCAAGCATTCCGTAAAAACTATGTCAATTTTGCAAACAGATAATGAAATATTTTTTGTAATCACACTAAAATTTCATTTCAAATGCTATAAGCATTATAATAATCAATAACAAAAATAAATTGTTTGTGTTATTCTATAACTGGGATAAAATAATCCCCAGTAGGAAATGTGGTACTTGATGAAAAGTAAATCAATTTTCAACTCTTGTTACAGGAAGTATTTTATGATTAAGTAAAATAAATTTTGTTACAAAATGTACAGTACTTTATGATTATATTGTTTGACTTGCAAGTAGCAAAAGTATTATTTTAGCTGTTTGGTTGGTTACAGAAAAATTTTTTATAGTTACTACATTATTCCAATAATTAGTTATTTTTATTTTATATTGGGCATATTTTAATATATGGTTTGTTCATTGGATAATTTTTTTAATTTAAAGAGATTTTTTATTTAATCAGTTTTTCATTAAGAGAAACTACTAAATGGACCTTTTTGATTAAATTTTATAAACAAAATTATGATATACAGTAAATTAACACAAATTTACTATAAAATCTAAATATAGTTCTTCAATTATAGGATGCATATTATAGGAAGTTCAAATATGAAAAAATTATCAAGTACTAAAAAACCTGTTCATAAGTTTTACAAATATAATATTTATGGCTTGCAAAATTTGATGTTTAAAAATTTTATATAAGAATCCTACCTATTTGTATTATATCTTTATTTCAAACTATTTCAATTAATAGCATCTTATAACTGAAGAAAGAAAAAAAAATTTATATATATATATATATATAACATTTCACAACAATTATAATTAATGTAAATGAACATTAATTACAAAATTAATTCAAATTACATAATAAATATAATTTTATAGAAATTAAAAAACAAAGAAATACAACTTTTTATAAAATACATAGAAACTCGACAGGAAAATGAAAAAATCATAACTTCTTGATTAAAAACAAATCATAAATAAGTATAATTACCAGTACATTACGAAATACTAACTGTTTGGTTGTTGGGCAGCTCGTTGTTGTAGAGTAATTGGGCAGTCTTTATGAGCTAATAGCATTGTTTTTAAATGTGCAACTTCACTCCTTAACATTGTCACTTCATGCTGAAAAATAAAAATATTTAATTTCATTGTCATTAAATTTATGTAAAATTCCTTAGAATTACAATTGTGAAAATTTAATAATTATTTGTTCATTTTGATATACATCACATATTTTTTTTACTTTAGATTGTTAGTGATTATTAAGAAGCAACTGCTATGTTCATCATGTTAAACAATTTTTCCAAATATTTCAGTTCAATAATACAATGATGCCTTGATTTGAGTTTTGTGGAAAACACTTTCAGAAAGTCATCAGTCAGATGCAAAATTCAAAAGAGAAAAAAGTGCTCTTGTTGTTCCACATTTCAAACAAATTAAAATTGTAGGAGTTATTGTTAGATATAAATGATTGAGAAAAAATGTAGAAGAAAGTGTAATCACTCATTCACCAAAAACAGAAAAATTAAAATCAATTTATATTAATAGAATTTCAAGACAAAGAGGTTCTATTAAACCAACTTGATCAAAAAACCTGAAGTAATTTATCATTACAAATATAAAATGAACCAACCACACTTAATTAACAATTTCCTTGTTATTTCAATTTTTGAGTTATTTTGTAAATATGGATTTTTTTGGCATTTCTTTAGTTCTTTGATTCTTAAATATCCTTCTAAGTACTGGGATGGAAAGGTTTGTATATCAACATAGGAAGAAGTTAACAAAAGAAGAATTTATGGCAAAATTAGAGGAATAAGAGAGATACTAAGATGATGCAAACCATTCATGTACAAAAGCTGACCATATTCTCAAACATCAAATCAACTGTACACAAGTTTGTTTCAACCATACAAACCAAAATTATCATGTTTAAAGCAAAATAAATCTTAACCAATTTTTCCCAAAATCAACACCATTCCTGTAAATCTTTAATCTAAACATTATGTGGATATTTACCAGAGTTAAAATTATCCAAAACTTTTTCATTCTTATTTTATAAAAGGGGAGACTCATCAATCCCAGAAAATTATAGTTATTAAACTATTACAGAAGTTGTTTATATATAAGGGAGCAAACAGATTTATCTGAATTCCAAGATGGATTACAACGGGGATATTCTACAGTTGATCATATTTTTGTTTTGAACTACAGAAGAATATTGTTTTAAAAGATTGCAGAACAATGGATTTTTTTACTAGCCTTGTCTAAAAAATGCAAAGCTTACAATAAAGTTTAATTAATATTTGGGCATTTCCAGGAATTTGTAAAATGTAGGGCAGAATTTGTGGATGTTTTATATCTGGGATATGTACAATTGAAGAATTATATGAAGAGAGACAGCAAGTTGATACAAATGAGAAGGAGCTGTCTAGTGAACATTCTGATACCAGTCCAAGTGTAGTCCGAAATTTAGCAAAGCCATCAAATCCAAGTTGTGAAGACCTTCCTGACTATAGGCTGTACCAGGCATTGCTGCTTTTCTGCCTATTGAATACATCAAAACAAACCAAGATGACTACAATTTGTTAAAAAACTCATCCAAGTGAAGTGCTAATGAGCATACATAATATGTCTTTTTTTGTGCTTACAATATACTGTAAGGCCTCTTTTTATGCGGTGGATACGTTCTATGGAAAAGCGCATATAAAAAATTCACATAAAAAAAGACTTTACTTGCCTTGAAAAAGTAGGGATACATTCCTTAATTTTCTAAAATTGCATAAAACCAAAACAACGAATTAAAATTAACTTAAAACCACATAAAAGTTTGCAGAAATTAAAAGAAATAGGCTGCTTAATACTGCAACTTGAAATCAGCAAAATTTAAACTCACTACTTATTATAAAAATGAACAAAACACTGCGAAAATAAAATTTAATTTCAAAACAATTATAGTTTATACCTTTCAATGCAAAACTCGGAATGATGTAATAGCGACTTGTCGATGGTAAGTATCATGTACAAGGGGAATTTCCCAATTGCAAAAGCTCACTCTAAAAACAAATCACTAACATCTGGATGTGAAGAGTTAATTAATTAATTAACTTTAGTTCCTCGCCCGAGTTAACTTGGGCAGGTTACATAAAACATGGTCCTTAAGGCAATTTTTGAATTTTTTTTTTTGAATTTTTGGAATGTTTTTTAAGTCTCCAAATTTTTTAAAAATATTTAAAAATATACGGCCAGCTAGTGTTCACCCTACTTTAAACCCTTGTCCTCCCGCGACGTCTATGAGAATGCCCCGGGAAATCCAACTCCAGCTGTGTTCAAGGTCATCCAGATGTGTAAACAATGACTCATCAGTGTTAAATTTCACAGAAGGGCGAGACAAAGGAAGTTAAACTTTGAAGCTTTTTCTTCAAAATTAACGCATTTCTTTGTTTTTTCAGTTTTAAGTATTTTTTATGTTTAATTACATTTGCTAGGAATTAAAGCGATTAAGGTAGATCTAGCTGTCCTTTACATCCATAAACGTTATATGTCAGTGGAACAAATGGAGTAAGCTTTGAGTGTTCCACGATTTTTGGAGACTGTCTATACGCAGGCTTCCTAAACAAGCTTATATGTATATGTATGTTTGTACAAGAAATTTTTGGATGAAATACAAACCGCACAACTTCAAAATCGCATAAAAATAATCCGCATAAAAAGAGACCTTACAGTATATAGTTTCTATCAGCTTTGTCATACACACAGGTTACAAGATCATAATTCTGCTGTATGTGTTTCTATAGAATAAAGAATATTTAGTCTCTTGAGATGTCTAATTTCAAGCACAGGTATTTCTTATATGTAGGGAGTTAAATAATGGATTCCCAAAACCCTGAGCAATCCATTAAAACAAGATTCTACTGTATTTGGTTTATACAAAAATGTGAACATCTGATATAATTAAAATGGAACTTGTTCCACATGCTGTTAAATACAAAGTAAGTCTAACAGTATTTATATTTAATCTGGTAAAACTTAAGAACATAGCTTTAGATCAAAAAATTTAACATCAGATATTTTTGTAAGTGAATGTAATGGTTAGATCTGTAGTGGGGTTTATAGAATACTGATACTTTATAATAGCACTTCAATACAAGGGCAAGCTATCAAGTTTCACAAAAGTATTCAAGTGGGCCATACTTTTGATTTTAATGAAGTTAAATTAATAGATGCCCTTTGTGTGGATATGAATGTGGGTACATATATATAAATAACTTCAGTGAACTAAACTATTATTTGTGCACTGTATTGATTGACAAAATGTTCTGAAAAAGATTATGCTGTTGGTAAAAAATAATAGTTGGGTATTAATTATAATTATTAATAATAAAAAATATTTTATAAGCACTATAATATTACTATATATTTTAAAACTTATACCTGTAATTGGGTATTGGTATCTGACAATTCTTTGGCTTTTGATTCTAAGTTATGAATCCATTGTTTTCTACGTTGGCGACAACGATTAGCAGCTGCCCTAAAATATAAAAAAGTTCAAAAGGTAAAATTAAAGCATTTTATTAATTTATTCATATTGATCTCAAAACTTAATTTTTTTATGCTTTTACTAAGTTTTTCAGAGTTTCTGACATAATTCTTCTTAAAATGAAATACACAGTGTGCTATTTATTAGAATAAATCCAGAAAGTTTTATTTCAGCTTGCACCTGCACTGTTTATAAGATGGTACTTACTATAGGAGCCATCCAGTAGTAAACTCCAATAGTCTGAGATTTCTATCCTTTGGGAATTGGGTGCAATGTTATTTGAAGGCAGCCAGGAACTTTTTTAATTTTGTTTGAATTACACAACAAACATACTTTATTTCAACTTAATGCTGAAAAGGCTTTGTGCAATTTTTTAAGTTTACAATTTCTTATCTTCCAACAGACATCAGTATGTATTAGAATATAGTGTATAGTTAAGGTGTCAAAGAGATTCAAAGAGATAAAAGATAGTTCCCTGCCAGGAAACTATTCCTAGGTACTTTTAATAGTCTTATTCAGTGCCCACAAGGTAGAATGTCTATCATTTATCCATTAATTAAATTATTAATCTTTTTAACTTGAAACACTTGAATTATTATTGCCACTACTACTTAACTATTGTTCAGGCTTATGACCAGCTCTCCAGTGTGGGGAATCTCCTTTCTTAATCTTAGACTAGTTCCTGCAGTGAATAATCTCCAAGACTTTTGTTTACAAATTTGTACTGTATTGCACATCCCATTTGAAGGATTCAATGACTATAAAAACAATGTACCAAAAAATTTCAAGTTCATTCATACAAAAACATCCAGATTAATATTTTAATCTTTGCTGAATGTTTAATTTGTATCTCTGTATTTTTAACTTCTAAATACAGTAATACCCCGACTTATGCGAACCCGGAGTTACGCGATTTTCAAATCTCGTCGATTCGTCTTTTGTTTGAGCGCCATGCAACCCTTGATTACTCACTCCCCCCACACCATTGTTCAGCTTACATATTCGGATGTGTCGCACGGAATCTACACATAGCTACAATTTATTTTGTGTTATTTATTTCTGTGTTTGTTATATCTACGGAGACTCGAGAGACTCTACTATGTCATCCAAACGAAGTAGAACTAATTATTCTGCATCAAACAAGAAAAGAAAAACTTTATCTTTGGAATGTAAAGTTAACATTGGGTATGTTCATAAAGTCGAATGAGTTAAACGAGAATGACGTCATCGTTATTTCTATTTCATTAGACTTTTCGAACGATTCATTACTAACACAACGTACCCATTATTAAAGACTTCGATACGAAAATGAAAATTTGTGAATTGGTAAAGTAGTTTGATCTACCAGAATTGTCAGTCAGAACAATTATAAAAGGCAAAGAAAAAATTCTCGAAGCTGTGAAAAATGCTCAATCTTTAAATTCAAGCATCATTCGTAAACGTCACGGTATTATCGCTGAGATGGAAACAATGTTAAAATTATGGCATAATAATCAAGTAAATGTGAAAAATTGTAAAATAATATAGGCCTAATTTGTTATATATGTGTATTATCTCAGATTTTATTAAACACTTTTTTCTAAATTATTGTTTTCTTTAGTCTCCGGCCCCAATTAAAAATTATTTGTATGTATTTATATGCAAAATTATACCCCGACATGTGCGGTTATCGCTCGGTTCCACCTATCGCGTAAGTTCAGGGTATTACTGTATTACAGAAAATATCAAGTTGGAATTTCCATCAGACCTTTTCTTTATCTAGAATAAATAAAAATGATTACACTTCTCATTTAACAACAATTCACTTATTGACCTAGTCATTAAGTGAGGAATGGCAGTATTTCAAAAATACAGTTTCTATAGTGAAGCTGTGAAAAACTGAACTATGTAAAATATTTCTAAATCATTAAATACTAATGAGAAAATTTCTAAAAATTTAACTTTTGCATAGGAAAAAATTTAAACAATTATTCAATAAAATAAAATGAATAATTGCCTTTTTTTTATTTCTTGAAATGAAGTATTGTAGTCTATTTTAAGGATAAACTAGGTAAAGAGGATTATAATTTTCATAAAAATTTTTTTTGATTTAATTCTGTTTCTTCTATTATCATCATTTTACAATATTAAGTATCAATTTAAAATAATATGTATAAGAGGTATTAACCTTGACTTTGTTAGTACATGTTATATGGCAAAGGCAATTGACTTAAAGGAAAACTGCCTTGTAGCAACTTTTGCAGATTATTGAAATCCACCAACAGAAGAACTAGTGTCATTTCTGTAAGTTTAAAAATATGAAAACAAAATAATTCTCTTTATTGGTTGATAACACTGAAAAGGCTCAGGTCTGGTGAGCGTTCATGATTTTGTATAATTCATTTTTTTAAAAATAATAAAAGCTCCCATTGTGAATACTTATACTGTACACGAAAAAAAAAATTTGAAAATCACCTGTTTCTTTCCAAAAATTTTCTTCTTTTTTCATCTGGATTATCATCATGACCTTTTCTTCTCCTCCTAAATAATTTGATTTTCATTAATATTTATTGCAAGCACTTTTAAATTCTAAGCAAAAACCTTATTACAAAAACAAACATTGTTAGCTAATTGAATGACTATCTTTGTATTAGCTGATGATATTGAATGAAAAACTATATTAATAATCAGAGAAAACAATGTCATATTTGAATACAACTTAGTTGTTGTTATGTATTACTACTACTACTTAACTCCAAACATTATTATAACCATATCATTAAATGCCAGATTATTTCAGTTATTAATTATTCAAATTTAATCTGGTCTAAAGGTATAGCAGTTAGACTGCCATCTTGTACTGACTTTGATATTACATTTAAAATATTCTGGAAGAAAACATTATCCTCGATTAGGTCTTAATTACACTACCACAATGCCTATTTAAGCTCCATTTTCAGACCAATTAACTTGGATAGTTATATAACCCAACTTAATTATCATCCAACTGGGGACAACTTTGAACTCATAAATCTCTCAAATTAATTGGTTTGGAAATGAAGATCATGTAGTATAACTGGTAGTACATCTGAACAGTAAGTAGAAGTTGCAGGTTCAATCTTTCCTTCCAGAATATTCTAAACAATTGAATTTAATATAAATAGCAATTAGTCTGTTATTTGTATTAATATCTTTTAATAACAGATATAAGTAATATAGAGCCTTAAATAATTAGACTTAACAACTGAATAGTATTTAGTGATTGGATTACTATATACCCAAGCTTGAACTTTACATATATTTGTGATAGAAAAAGATCAAAGCTTAGATCTCTTTGCATAAAGATTATTCTCATCATGCTTTTGGTATATAGCCTGCATTGAAAGAAGTCTTCCAGCACGCAAAGAAAGTAGTAATCAAAATTTTAATAAGTCTTGAATAACTTTGTCTAGACCAAGGGTCGCCAAACTTTTTTGATTGTCAACCCCCTACAAGTTTTCGAAACCTCACATTGACCCCCACCAAAAAGTTTGTTACAAGCAAAACAAAATACTTACTATTTTAATACATTTCTTTTAATTTTGCATTTTTTTCATTTATTATATATTTGTTAATAATAATTTTTGTAACTGACAATCACGGATAACCTAACCTTGAGACGGATAAGCTTGATCCTTAGCTTAAGCTTGATAATCAACCCCCAATAATGTTATATCAACCCCTTTGATGACCCCCTGGTCTAGACCTTGACAATTCATCAGTTTCTTACAGTTATTGTCAGCGTTCTCAAATAGCATTCAATTCTCTTCACTTGCAAATGTCATTTTTAATTATTTTTTAAAAATTTTCTACCTTATTGAACAGCAAATTCATCAACATTCTTTCAAAAATAATTTGTTCGTAATTTTTTTACAAAACAGTAATTTCTTGCTAAAAATTTTTGCTTCCTATTGGCTTCAACTAAAGCATTCAGTTATTGAAAATATTAAAAAATGCTTTAGTATATATGTATATTCATAAATTTAAATTTTTTGTTTATACATTAAAATTTTGGATAACTTGAATAAGCAATTTATGATACACAAATTCCTAATGTGTTATAAAATCTCAACAACAATCCTCCTCACTCCCTATTATAATCAGTTTTTTCAGTTAAGATCTATTTCAGTTAAGATTATTTTGTTAACTAAAGCAATTATTATATTTGAGTTCAATGAAACCTATGCAAATTCACACATACAGATACACTTAAATATAACTAAGCAGTCATATATCATTACTGTGTATCATCAATATAATTAATCATTTTAATAAATTTGAATTATTACATCATGTATTTTCTCATTCTTGAAATTCAAATTTATGTATAATTTTTTAAATTGGAAACATTTTTTGTTAAATATTTATAAGTTAAATCTTTTAAAGATGTTTCAAATGCTTTCAATTTTTTGCAAATGATAAAATACAAATAAATTAATTAATTTAACTTAATCATTTGCAAAAAATTGAAAGCATTTGAAACATCTTTAAAAGATTTGACTTATAAATATTTAACAAAAATTGTTTCCAATTTAAAAAATTATACATAAATTTGAATTTCAAGAATGAGAAAATACATGATGTAATAATTCAAATTTATTAAAATGATTAATTATATTGATGATACACAGTAATTTAACTTAGATATATTTAACAAATAAAAATTATCAACAACAAAAATTCCTTCTTGCAAAAATATATACATTATAATCAAAATCAGTAAATCTTTTTTTCATTAAAAAAAAAAAGACTAATTTTATCTTCAGTTGCACAGAAAACCCTTATCATGCTTTATGCATTGGAGATTATGCAGCAAGGAAGCTTAAATTGTGTATATTCATTCATTTATTGCTTTTCAGATGCAATTATATAATATATTCTAATATAGTTGCATTTTTCTATAAAAATTATATCATATCATTAATATAAAATATAGGAAGAAACTATTTAATATTCACTATAATAGTTGTTATATGTTTTTGATAATTAAAGCTAAATTAAATAAAAATAAATCATTATGAGTCAAAACTCACTGAAATTATTTTAAACTTACCCAGTATTTCGAATATTATTAAGACCATTTGTTGTGGATTTAACTGCACTATTTGAATGATTAATTTGGGGAGGGGAAACAGCATGAACGGGAGTGGCTACTTGAATATTTGAAGTTGGAGAATGAGATGATGATGAAGATGACGATGGTGGTGACATTCCTGTTGCAACAATCCTATGATTCTGTATTGTTTCTATCAATTTCTAGAAAAATTTTAATTATTTAATTTTTATTTAACTCAATGTTTTATTTATAAAAAATTTAGCAAACTTAAATTCATCAAAAATTTTAATTTAATATAATTGGCTCACAAATAAATCTTATTACTGTATAACTGAGTTGAAAAGTAAACTCCCATGATCTTAGGCATAAATTTTAAAACAATTGAAATAATTTTTATATTACAATTATTATTTTTTGGAAAAAAAAAAATATATTGTGCTGCTATATACCATTGAGAAAATAACAAAAAGTACATTAAACAAATCTTTATACTGATCTAAAAATAACGAATGAAAAATTTATAGAATTAAATACATATTATGATATACATTCTTACCATTTTAGTTACAGATTGGTTGTTCTGATTTTGTTGAGTGGCAGGTTTTGAAGCAACTGCTACAACAGGTGATGGTACTGGTTGTGTTGCAAGAATAGGATTGGTTAAAGGAAATGTCAAAGGAAACTGTGCAGGAGTTTGGCCATTAGCAAGTTTAAGAACTAATTGAAACACTGGTGCTGCTATTGCAGGTACAGGCTACAAAATTAAATATTTATTAAATTTGAAAATGATAGCAAATACAATAAAATTTACTTACTAAAAAATTGTCATCATAATTAATAGAACAATAAAAAAAATTTCAGAAAATTACATATAGTATGTTTTATAAACAAAATTTATTTTTAATTTATTCTCAAAAATATAAACTCTCAAATAGAAAATAAAGACTAGTATCCTCTTTCCACCTTTACTACATGGATGACCATGTAGTCATCAGTCATCCTAATGTAATACAATGGTTCATCTAACTACAGTACATTGAGAAATCACAAATTAACATTGGTAGAAAAAGAATATCATATAATTCAAAACACTTGTACACCAATTAATGCAGATTAACAAGATTCTAATGTAGTTTTAAATGTATTTTTAGAATTTTTGGAACTTTTCTGTTAACGGGATGCCAGTTTTAACCATAATCCAATGCACAATTCTGTCTCCTTACTCACATAACACAAAGGTTGTAGTGTAATTAAAGACAACTGAATTTAAAAAAAAAAAAAAATACATTTTACATTATAAAAACAGATTGGGAAAAACCAATAATTGTTCATACATGTTAAATCCTAATACCCCGTTCACACCGAGCATTTCGATCTAGATTGTGACTAAGGTCGGAGAGTGTTCCGTGGTGCAAACGCTCTCGACTGTTTCAATCTCGACTGAAACGAAGTTCAATTGCGATCGACTGGAGAGAGTTCTCGAAACTAGATCCAGTCATAAGAGAGATCCCACGCGCGCGAGAAAATACAAAATGGCTGGGGAACACGTGTCCGGCTATCGACAGAGAAATAAAAAAGACATCTGGAGAGACGACGACATCTGTCTATTATTAGATATACGGCAAGAAAAAGTATTTATTTCTAACCAAAACTTCCATTTTGTTTGTTGGTGTTTGTGACTTACCGCGTAGTTACGTCAGTTTTATGATCGCGTGTAATAGCCAGGTTCTTCTCGAGCAGACTGCCTGTGCGAACATCACGACGTTCGACTAGCGACAGTCACAATCCAGATTGTAGGTAAATCGAGATCGAAGTGAGTCGTGGATTGTGTGCGAACGTAGTATTATAATGTTTTGCATATTTTTGCATTGATATCATTGCAATGTTTAATATCACATCCACACTTAAATTATAGTTAAAGCATGAAGTTTAGGATATTAAATTTTTTTTTGTTTTAAATTTAGCCACCTGTTAAGATTTTTTTATCAAATTTTAAAAAACATTTAACTGCTTTGTGTATTAATGCACCTTTTTTGTTCAACATCTTGTGGTATTGTGAAATTAAGTTCCTTGGGAGTACAAATGCAAAACAAACTTTGAAACTTTGATACTTTAATGTTGTCTGTGATGTTAACGGTAGCTCTAGCCCTTCTTTTTAAAGTTTTGTTTTTTTTCATTTTCGAGTGAAAATGGATTTCACAACATGGCAATTGCCAAAAGATGGAGAAACTGCAATTCTTTTTTTCCAAGATAAAGGTGTCTTACATGCTGAACAACTTCATTCAAGAAATCACAAAATGAACTTGATTTTGTTAATACTGAATCACCAATACGGCAATGTGACATTAGATCATGCCATGAAAAGAAGGATTTGCAAAATCGAAACTGGTTTGAAGGTACTGTACCTGTATTTCTTTTCTGCTCTGCGGTTTATCTATTTCTGGTGTCTAGAATTAACTTCTGTAAAATTTTGTCAACTACAGTCAAGAATGAATCACTGTACAACTGTTGTTTGGAATAATTACATGTGTGACGTATATGTCAACTCAATTTCTCGATCTGTGGTAACAATAGGTGGTTCAAACAAAATTGTAGAAATGAATGAAAATCTCTTTACATGCAGAAAACAACATGTTTGATGTGTTCTTCCACATCACTGGGTATTCAGTGGGATTTGCCATGAGTCAAAAGAGTGTTTCTTAGTCACCATGCCTGATTGTTCAGCTAAAACTTTGATTACTATGATATGAGATAACATGACAGAAGGGATTGTATTCTACTCTGACTGTTAGAAAGCATACAAAAATGATGAGTTAGGCCGGATTTGAACACCTGCAAATTAACCATAATTATAACTTTGTAGACCCAGAAACCAGATGCCATACACTACACACAGAAAGATTATGGGGGCGTGCAAAATGGAGAAATAAACAATAGTGCAGCACTTCCCATCATCACTTAGATTTATACCTAATTGAATTAAAAAACAAAAAAAAAAAAGGATAAACACATGATAAAATAGCAATTTCTCTACACACAGCAGTAAAATCGACTGGCATCACATTAATAGAAAAGTATCAAATTTTAAAAAATAAAGTTTATGAAGTAAAATTTATAAAAAAGTTTCAGAGGTTTTAGGATTAATACAAAAAGCTTACCTGAATAGTTGTATTTGAGGTAACACCAGAATTTATAGAAACTGGTACAGTTGAAACTTGAGATATTTGTGTGGAAAGAGTTACATCTGTGCTGCTAACTGCTCTTGTAACAACAGCAGTTGGAACTCCAGTTGTACTGGTTTTTGGTGCAGATGGTGTTGTCAGTCCTCTATTATTTAAAAATCATAGAAATTTTAAATTGATAAATTATTAATTAAAATGATGCTTTACCAATAACTACATTAACATTTTGCATTTGTCAAAATATCATATGAATTAATCTAAATAGATATTAATTTTTTTATAAAAAAAATTATTAAATACTTATTAAGATTTAATTTATACAATTTAAATAATTGTATTTTTATTAGTGGATTAATACAGAAAAAAAATTTATTCAAGTTTTTAATATAAACTACCTTTATTTATTTATTATAATACAATAATTGTTAGAAACTCTTGAACTTATGACTGCAAAATAAATATGGAAAACAACTGGTGACTGAGAGTTCATTTTATATTCATTACATGTTGATTATAAATATGAAATATCTTCATGATAGTGAAATAATAAAAGTTCTCTAGTGATCAACATATTATTCAATAAGTTTAAAAATAAAAATGAAATTATGAATGAGATCAAGAGTATGTCATTCTGTGATGCATCATGTAAATAGCTAATGTAATCTGCATAAAAATGAAGAAATATTGATAACTATTAATATTTTAAACTACTGATATTATGGGTAATTTTCAATTGATATCATATTTACTAGAATCATATTTTCAGGTATGGTATATGGAAAAATTGTACACTAGAATTCCTGTGAAGTCCAAATTCAGGACTAGTGCTGGCAAAAACCAGAAATTCTTGAAATTGGTTGTCAACATAACTTTAATTCTACTGAATTCAAACTGGTTTTGAAACCAGTTTGGTATGTGATATTTAAAAATTAATGTTTTATTTTTGCATTTTATTAATGTTAATAAAGTACAATAATAAGATTCCAATACATATTAATATGGGATGCAATCATTAATATGATTGCATCCCATATTATTCCAACCAAAATAAGATCAGTGTTTCTTTGCTGGTGATAAATGCTGCAAGCCTAATAATTTAACAAATAGCATTTAAAAACTTTAATGTGAAAACTAGCATGAATTAATTTAAAACCATAATTTTAATCTTGAATAATTTTAAACATGAATAATGCATGGTGTTATATATATATATAAACTGAGGATTGTAAATGATGCGATGTACAAATTGTAATATTACAATAAAATTTTTCAGTGATGTACCAATTATGAGGAATTATTTAACTCAAAGCATACTTTACTGCCAACTAAAAGTCAAAAAAAGCAAATAAATACAATAGTGTGAATTCATTGCCTGTTCAAAACAAGTTTTGAAATGGAGTTTTTGTTGCCAGCACTAATTATGGCATTTCTTCTACAGGTTTAAGATGTATTTAGTAAATAAGCTGTAATTCTCTGTAAAACTCTGGAAGTTCCTGTACTGGAAATATATAAAATATCTGCTTCATAAGTTAAATTTTCATTTTAGTGTGTTGTTCAACATAAATTATTAAATATGAGAAATATAATGGTATTAATTAAACTAAATTTACATAATCTTAATGACAAAGAGACTATGATTTTGTGATATATTGTACTAAAATATAGATGCTGTGGAAAAAATGAAAAGCAATTTAAGGATATAAAAACATTAAGCCAATCTTGGCTTAAATATTTACCATTACATTTTTCCACAATATCCACATAAAGGATATTTTAGATGAAATTTCTTTAGTTATAAATGTTATGAATGTGGAAGAAATAACAGTAAAACTGCAGTCTAAAAACATTTCAGCTATATTTCACAATTCTTCAATTCTTCATTTGATAGCATTCTTTAGTTCAATCCTGCTATGTAAAAGCTGTTTTATTCCAAGAGTACAGCATTACTCTTACCGAAGAGAATTGGAAATCACATCTCTGTGCCAAGATACACATCAACCACAAAATGTAAAAACTAGGAAACTAGTTTCTGTAATTTGATTTCAATAAATGTTTGTGGTTTGTATTCCAAAAGTGGTTTGCATTCCTTATTTACTACTATTATTTTTATTAAAATAAAATATCCTCTTCCTACATCATTTTGTATAAGTCTAAAGTGCTGTGTAAACTAATAACAATAAAAGTACTGAAACACCTCATTCACTGATTAAGTAAATTGTCATGAAAATATATTTTGTAGTTGATAATCATTTGATACAAAAGCAGAAACACTTCTGTTTTAGCTATATTATATTTTTAATCTAATTTTTCAAAAATTACAATTTTTTTTAATTGCTAAGATAATTTTATAAGATTTAAACATCAGTCATGAAAATACTAACAGATAAATGAAACAAAAATTCTTATAGAAATGATTAAAAAAAAAATTTCTTCAAAGGATAAAAGATGATTCACATGGTAGTGATGAAATACTATTCTGAATTAATATAATCAAAGTATATTTTAAATTATTATTTGGAGGCAGGATTTAGAGTCAACTGACAGACTTTTGGTCAATTGACTCCACAGACCCTGGTTTGTACTAACTGAGCAAACAATACCAGTTATATATGTTACCGGCCAAACCTGATTTCAGGCCAAACTAGTTTATCCTACGCATGTCAGGATATACTAGTTTAGCCTAGGATAATCTAGTTTGGCCTAAATACTTTAGGCTTAACTAGTTTGACCTAGGCCAAACTGATTTATGTACTACAAATAGGTGCCAGTATAAAAAAAATTATTTTGTGTAATTCGAAATGTCACCACAGTATACCCGGTGGTTACCCCAATGACAGCGCTTCCATTAAGTTGGTTTGGTTAGATTAACAATGGGCAGCTTGCCGGCAGCTCCCCTCAGGGAGGAGTCCGCCAGGAGCACAAAAAGTCCAAAATGCCGCCATTGGGGTTACCTAGGTACACTTTAACCCACCCTGTAAAAATAAATAAAAGATTAAATATTTTATATGTTATACTAAGAAACACAAACAAGTTCATTTTTAATTTTACTTTGACTTTAAAAGTTATTTTTATTATTTCGTTTGAAGTTTTAAAAATATTTTCAAAAGTTAATTACCTTTAACTTTAAAAATGCATGGCTTAATAAAAAAAAATACAAACTGATAAGTACTGATTAGCTTATTTTTATTTTATAGTTTTGTACAAGTGTTGTGTCACTTATAATCAGTACCATTTTTTTATAATTAAGTAGACTATGTTTGAATAGATATTGTTCATCTAATTGATTGCCTTTTAATTTTATTTTAACCATTAATATACTTAAATCAGGCCTGGTCAACCCGCGGCCCGTCACATTAAATTGCGTGGCACGCTAAGCGATATTATATATCTATTAAAACTTTTGTTTTCCGTTTTGTGTATACCAAAACAATTAAATAAATGAAAATTTGCATGTGTCATTGTTATAATGCGCAAGTGCGAGTATGAACTCTTGGTATAACAATGAAATCTTATTCATTTTGTATTTGTTTTACTTTTTTAAATGCGTGTTTGCCTAAATTGTGGCCCATTGTAATGTTATGCTTGATCAAAGTGGCCCGCGAAACAATTTGGGTTGGCCAGACCTGACTATAATAATAATTCTAAATCAGTTCGGCCTAGGCCAAACTAGATTGTCCTAGGCTAAACTAATATATCCTGACACGTGTAGGATAAACTAGTTTGGCCTGAAATCAGGTTTGACCAGTAACATATATATGAAGAAATAAAAAAATAATAAACATGGTATGGTGTTTAATGTGTTTAATTCAATAATAATATTTTTACTCCTCAGCACAACTCTTGATTTAAATAATTAAATATGTATAAATAAGTGCAGTTTTCTTTAATACCATAACAGAAGAATTGAATGAAATACTTTGAATCGCACATTTGTTTTATATTTTTATAGTTGGCACACCATTCCAGTTTCATCATTATTTGTGTCAAAATTTCTCTACAGATCATATATATAGAGTGGTAATAAAATTCTCCCTGGACAATTATTTAAGACTAATACAGTAGAGCATCGATTATCCGACCTCCAATTAACCATCACATCAGTTAACCGACTGTTCTAGTTGGCAAATTTCAAATGTCCGCTAATGATGCAGCACTACAATATTTGGCCATGTCTTGGCTACTTTAATATTATTTTTGTTAAATTTTTCCATGTTTTAACTGGCAACACGGGCTCAACCATGAAAGGGAGGCCAGTATTTAAACGAGACTTAATTTTCTAATTATGAGTGGTTGTTTGTTTTGTGAGCAATAAAATAATTTAAAAATAATTTTTAACGATACAATAGCGACGATTATTATTTTAAAAAAAATTTTTGTTAGGTTTAACATCAATGAAAATTTAACGCGAAATAGTTTAACGATATATACTAATTACATGGGATATACTAATATACTATACTAATAATGTATTTTTTTCATTCTTTTTAGTTATCCGATTTTTTTAGTTATCCGACCAACCTGAGTCCCCAATTGAGTCGGATAATCGATGCTCTACTGTAATACATATAGGCAAAAAGTCTAAGTCTCTATGTCAGTCATATGCTAATTGATGGTTCGAATTACATCTCCAGCCCTTTCATTGAAGAAGACTGTTGTAATCTCAGCCCGTAATGAAATAGAGCAACATTGTCAATTATAATGTTTTAGCACATGAAAAAAAATACATACTGTTTACCTTTTTAGAACATTCTGAAACATGCTATCAAATAAAACAAGTAAATGATTCACTGAACAACACATTGAGTACCAAAGAATCACTATATAAGAAATGCAATGCAGGAATGTATGGGTATGATTATGTTGGCACTGTTCAAATTAAATGCTAAATACCAAAATATCAAATGCAATTTTATTAATTTTATTATTAATAATCAAATGACATTTTATTTAAAATGTCATTTGATATTTTCTATTAAATCGGATCATTTGCTTATCCATATCACTACTAACCTAAACCTAACCACACATTCAACCATTCCCATATTCCATCCATGTTATGCAGTAAAGCATTTAATTGTCCCATTCACTGGCCAGTTCCAGGATTTCACTTCATATTTTGCTACCTTTTAATTGACAATGTCGTCCTATTTTCATTAAGGGCTAAACCTTAACCTTATAAAGACTGAGGGGCAAAAATTTGTATCATCATTTAGTTCATGCTCAACAAAGGACAATCACTGTAGGCCTTTTGCTTATGTTTACTATTAGTTTCTGAAATAATTGGTCAGGAAAAGACTATTCTTACCACTCTGTATAATGGTATTTATTATTCACCAGAAATTTCAAAATCAAGGATGTTATACTTATTAAAAATACCAAAAATTTAGGTTATGATGTTTGTACATTACATTTTACTAAAAAACAAATGATTCATTAAATTAAAGTGTAAAATATCAATTTATTTCAATATTTAGAAAAATGAATGCTATTTTGATAGAAAGTATGTTTATTTCAAGCCTTCTTAACTCATCTTTGGATATGCTTTACAAAAAAAAAAAATAAATAAATAAACTTAAAAGACATTGAAAACTTCAAACCTTTAGAGAACTTCAAATTAGCCTATTTGACATTAATTTAAGAATGTTTTAAAATGCAGTTTTAAAATTATAAAGCCATTTTAGGTTTGTATAATAGGTATAAGATAAACAAACAACAAAAAAACAAATAAAGTGTCATAAGTTATTTGTTTTCTTATGATTCCAATGCCCATTTGATCATCTGTTGCAGCATTAGTTTTTTTGTTTCTAATTTTTTTTCATTAAATTTTTATTTTGCTTATTTATCTTGTAATAACCTAAAATGGCTTTGAACATCAATTGAAGAATTTTTAAATTTGCAATCATGTTTTAATGTATAATGTCACAAGTGCTAGTTTAAAGTTCTACTGAGGTTTGAAGTTTTGAATCTCTTTCACGTTTGTCAAAGTGTAAAAAGGTTGGAAAAATTTACAGATTTCTTTACTGAAATAGCATTCATTTTTCTAAATACCGTATGTAATGTGGAGCTAGAACAAGCAGATGATTAATTTATTCATAAAACTTAAATTTATGTTTTCCAATTTCAACATAAAAGTAATACTTACACACATGTTATTACTGGTGTTTGAACAACTGTACATGCACTAGTACTTGTAACTATGTTATTTGTAACATGAAGAGAAGATGGCAAAAAAGTTTTTTCTGGTGATCTAGGAACAATTACTTCAATTTCATTATCATTACTGTCTAAAGTTGTTGTTGAAGTTAAAGAATTAGATGGAAAAGGCATAGTATCTCCTAAGTCTGTAGGAGTGTCATCTGGCAGCACTGTAGATGTATCATCTGAATTTATTAAATCACTTGATTCAGCAGTAGTTGTGGTAACTGTGAGATCATTTTCCACTGCTGTAACTGGAATTGGTGTATTTAATGAGTCTTGTTCAGATATACTGGTTAGTATAGATGAAGCCTAGAATAAATCAATATAAAATCAAAATTTATTTGAATTGAATTAATTACTTTGTTTGTTGTAAGGAAATTTAAATAAAATTCAAATAAGTGATTCTTTAACATTAAAACATTGAAAGAAGCAAGCAAGTTAGAAAACACTCAGCATTAATATTAGTGTTGGAAAAAAACAGAAATTCTTAAAATTGGTTATCAGTTCAAATTAATTCTATTTTATTAATATTAATAAAGTACTACAGTAAATATTAGCAAAAATTCGTAAATATGCTTGCATCATTTATTACTCCCTCCAAAAAGAAGTCAGTGTTTCTTTTATGTTGATAAATGCTGAAATGTTTAAGTATTTAACAAATAAAATTTAAAAATAATTGCTTTAAAATTAATTCACACTAGTTTTTATGTTGATTTTAATTTTAAAATTTAAACATTTAAAATAATGCTATGCACTCATACTAAAGTCAAAAATGGTACATTGCTGCTTTGTACAAATTTGTAATGTTGTACTACCAGAAAATTTTAGCATATCAGTTATATGAAATCATCTTAAATCTAAGCATGCTTTACAAGTAAAAGTCAAAAATGACAAGTAAATACAATGATATCATAATAATGATATTGTGTTTTGTTTACATTTTATTTTTCATGAAATTTTTTCAAAGTATGTAAAAACTTTTGATTGATTTTAAAAGTAAACATTCTTGTCTGTCAAATTTTATTTTAAATTTTTTTATTTTGCATACAATATTATTTTTATTTTTAAGAAATTTTTTATTTTCCTAATATAAGAAGTCATTTTGTTTTCAAGGTTTCTAAGGCCAATTATTATAATACATGAACTAATGACTATATATTTCACTTTTTTCTATTGTCAGAATGTTTAGAACAAAAAAAAGTCAAAAAATATTTTTTTATTTTTCCTATTTACTGCTTGAAAATTATGAAGATAGAGAGACAAGTGTAATTAAATTTAGTTTTCAGTCAGTTTTTAATTAAAAATTTATAATTTTATCAAAAACTATAGAAGTATTATTTATTTAAATTCAAGAATATAAAATAATAACTACTTAACAAGAGATAATAATTAAAATAAAATCCATTTCTTTATTGTCTACGTAATTTTTTATTAGCCAATAGCCATCAATGAAAAGTGATCAGTGTATGATCAAATATAGGAATGTTAGAGTGCGTAATACAGCACAATAAGCTAGCCAATCAACAATGCTGTCGTAAACTCGTGTTTTAGATATCTGTTGTAAAGAAGAACAACTGCTATTGAAGTTCTAAAAATGATTAACATCAGCTAATCGAGTAGTTGATGAATAAAACTTTGCTGTGGGTCAGAATGTCTACATTTCTGACTAGAATGTTGATTGGATGTTAGAAAACATGTTAGAGCATCAAGGAAACATTAAACACTGTAACACTGTAGATATGTAGACCCCCTTATAACACTGTAGATATGTTCTGGTTTTTATAAATCCATTTTCTACGAGTCCAGCCAATCACAGCCCGGCACATATGCAGTTTACGGACTACGGCTGTTTGAAAGGTTTCTTCCATAAAATTAATCGATTCTAGACTAATTCAACTCAACATTTCCAAAATACGTATAATTTTTTGGGAATAATCTATATAAACTATGCTATAAACAAAAAATTGTAGGACTACTTACCGAGCGTGCACCGTTCAACTACATCATTGCTTAAGCTTGTTTTCGTCGTGGAGCTTGTCATCGAATGGCGCTCACATACTTCCTGATAATTTATTTTTTTTGCAAAAAATTCATTGAACTTTAGAGACATCATTAATATAAATATAATTTTTATGGACATTAAATAATAAATGGTTTTTAGTAGGTCTGCTGCTCATTTAAACTCAACGGTTTGTACAATATCCGTTATTGGTCTAGATTCGACCAATCCTGTCGCGACACGAGGCGATGATGTTTTACCGAATTATACGAGTTTTTTTAGCAGGTTTGTACAAATACTGTCACAATTTTTTCATCGTGATATAGGAATCCAAACTATAGGAACCCGTGTTATAGGGGGGTCGACTGTATTTTAAAAATAATAAAATTTTGTCCACTTGAACATACTTCATTTGAAAATTTTTTTACCTCATTAATAGAGATTTGTCCTTTCTCCACAGACTGTGATGCCTTACGAAATTGTTCTTCAAAAGGATTAACATTTGACAAATCCTGAAACAATCCATATTCTTCTCCTATTTTGATAAATCTTGTAGGAGTAGGTGTCTGATCTATAATAACAGTAATATTAATTTTTAAAAAATTTGTGATTATTATGTTAATTAAAAAAATAAAAAAATTTAATTGTATTTATATATATAGATTGTCTGCTTAAAATGTAAAGAGTGCAAAATTTTCTATCAGTTTTCAATTAATGCATTTTGAATCATTAATTAATTAAACCTTTGAATAGCTTTTGTTCTGTTGTGCAAGATCAGGAGCTGTGGGGCCCCGTTCACAGATTCAGGATGGAAAATATTTTAATTTGTTCAAAGTTCATGAAATCTTTGTAACGTCAAGATTCCTGACACCAGTTAGGAAAGAAAAGAATAATCGCATCCTAACTCATGATAATTTGGAAAAGTTCTACCGATCCAAGTGGCTTATGAATCCAGGAGGGATTTGAGGATAAGATAATAGATCTAGACTGGAAACATTGTTATCATCTGTAAACATATTTATTTAAATTCAAACTATATATATGGTCTAATACATAAACAGCATTAATAAGAATAAAATGAACAAAATTTTCCCATTGACAATCTAATATATGATTTCCCTTAAATCTAACCTGAGAGAGACAGCTTACATTGTTACAGTCAAATGCAATATCTCATTTCTTTTCTTCTGTTTTCTTCTGATGTTGTTGGCAGAGCTGGCCACGTTCTCCTGTATTTGGCAATAAAACTCCTTTTCATTCAGACACCAACTTTCTTGGAAGTTATGTTTCCAATTCCAGCTCAGCCCTGGACGTTAGTGTGAACCCTATTTATAGGCTATTCATCCGACCAATCATTTGGGGCTATTCAAGTCATCTGAGGAGAGAACCAACAAGAAACTTCTTGTAAAGTTGCTATCAAAATTAGCATCTCTCCTCAGGAACTTCCTTCAAAATTGAAAGAAAGTTCATTTGCAACTAACACAAATGTTTCCTGTTTAACAATATTTTAAAATTTTCTATTTAACCTAAAATATTGGCCCCTAGGTTCTCACAGTTGCCATAACTATGTTATTTCATAATAAATGCTTTACGATTCATCATTCACATTTTATACCTCTGGCACTAATGATCTGATCAGTGTACATGATGATTATGTATAAATTTTTAGATTTGGTGTTTATAAATTTTAGTTACTTTCCAATATTGAATAAATTAATATAAAATGCATTTTGTTCTATTTTCCAAAATTACTATATTAGAATTATAGTCTTGAATAATTATTTTCTTTTTCTGCCATATTTGCATTTCTTATCAAGATATTATTATTATTATATTACAGAACCAGGCTATGCTAGAAAATTTATGATCAAATAATTATGTTTATGAACTTTTTTCAATTTAACTATAATGTATTCAATTGCAAAAATGAAATGATCTTGCCCTTCCTTAGAAATAACTTATATTCATAAAATTCAAATATTAAAATACTAGCAGATGAGCCCAGCGTTGTTTGGACAAAAAGTAACAATAGCAAAGATTAAGATTATTAGATTATAGCCAATCTTACCTGTTTTCACCAAGTGCAAGAATTAGATCTCCCTCTTCTGAGACTAATAGAAAATTTTTAGATATCTGCTTACCACGCTGGGATAACGATAATTAAGATTCACAGTATCCACTAACCAGTGCATAGTACCACTAAGTGATGAATAACAAATGTTTTCGTAACCCCTTCTGGGTTTTTCTTCAGGTTTACTAAATTTGAAAAATAAGCTGGATCTTCCTGAATCATTCATAAATATAAATTTGAACATAAAATCNAAAAAAAAAAAAAAAAAAAAAAAAAAAAAAAAAAAAAAAAAAAAAAAAAAAAAAAAAAAAAAAAAAAAAAAAAAAAAAAAAAAAAAAAAAAAAAAAAAAAAAAAAAAAAAAAAAAAAAAAAAAAAAAAAAAAAAAAAAAAAAAAAAAAAAAAAAAAAAAAAAAAAAAAAAAAAAAAAAAAAAAAAAAAAAAAAAAAAAAAAAAAAAAAAAAAAAAAAAAAAAAAAAAAAAAAAAAAAAAAAAAAAAAAAAAAAAAAAAAAAAAAAAAAAAAAAAAAAAAAAAAAAAAAAAAAAAAAAAAAAAAAAAAAAAAAAAAAAAAAAAAAAAAAAAAAAAAAAAAAAAAAAAAAAAAAAAAAAAAAAAAAAAAAAAAAAAAAAAAAAAAAAAAAAAAAAAAAAAAAAAAAAAAAAAAAAAAAAAAAAAAAAAAAAAAAAAAAAAAAAAAAAAAAAAAAAAAAAAAAAAAAAAAAAAAAAAAAAAAAAAAAAAAAAAAAAAAAAAAAAAAAAAAAAAAAAAAAAAAAAAAAAAAAAAAAAAAAAAAAAAAAAAAAAAAAAAAAAAAAAAAAAAAAAAAAAAAAAAAAAAAAAAAAAAAAAAAAAAAAAAAAAAAAAAAAAAAAAAAAAAAAAAAAAAAAAAAAAAAAAAAAAAAAAAAAAAAAAAAAAAAAAAAAAAAAAAAAAAAAAAAAAAAAAAAAAAAAAAAAAAAAAAAAAAAAAAAAAAAAAAAAAAAAAAAAAAAAAAAAAAAAAAAAAAAAAAAAAAAAAAAAAAAAAAAAAAAAAAAAAAAAAAAAAAAAAAAAAAAAAAAAAAAAAAAAAAAAAAAAAAAAAAAAAAAAAAAAAAAAAAAAAAAAAAAAAAAAAAAAAAAAAAAAAAAAAAAAAAAAAAAAAAAAAAAAAAAAAAAAAAAAAAAAAAAAAAAAAAAAAAAAAAAAAAAAAAAAAAAAAAAAAAAAAAAAAAAAAAAAAAAAAAAAAAAAAAAAAAAAAAAAAAAAAAAAAAAAAAAAAAAAAAAAAAAAAAAAAAAAAAAAAAAAAAAAAAAAAAAAAAAAAAAAAAAAAAAAAAAAAAAAAAAAAAAAAAAAAAAAAAAAAAAAAAAAAAAAAAAAAAAAAAAAAAAAAAAAAAAAAAAAAAAAAAAAAAAAAAAAAAAAAAAAAAAAAAAAAAAAAAAAAAAAAAAAAAAAAAAAAAAAAAAAAAAAAAAAAAAAAAAAAAAAAAAAAAAAAAAAAAAAAAAAAAAAAAAAAAAAAAAAAAAAAAAAAAAAAAAAAAAAAAAAAAAAAAAAAAAAAAAAAAAAAAAAAAAAAAAAAAAAAAAAAAAAAAAAAAAAAAAAAAAAAAAAAAAAAAAAAAAAAAAAAAAAAAAAAAAAAAAAAAAAAAAAAAAAAAAAAAAAAAAAAAAAAAAAAAAAAAAAAAAAAAAAAAAAAAAAAAAAAAAAAAAAAAAAAAAAAAAAAAAAAAAAAAAAAAAAAAAAAAAAAAAAAAAAAAAAAAAAAAAAAAAAAAAAAAAAAAAAAAAAAAAAAAAAAAAAAAAAAAAAAAAAAAAAAAAAAAAAAAAAAAAAAAAAAAAAAAAAAAAAAAAAAAAAAAAAAAAAAAAAAAAAAAAAAAAAAAAAAAAAAAAAAAAAAAAAAAAAAAAAAAAAAAAAAAAAAAAAAAAAAAAAAAAAAAAAAAAAAAAAAAAAAAAAAAAAAAAAAAAAAAAAAAAAAAAAAAAAAAAAAAAAAAAAAAAAAAAAAAAAAAAAAAAAAAAAAAAAAAAAAAAAAAAAAAAAAAAAAAAAAAAAAAAAAAAAAAAAAAAAAAAAAAAAAAAAAAAAAAAAAAAAAAAAAAAAAAAAAAAAAAAAAAAAAAAAAAAAAAAAAAAAAAAAAAAAAAAAAAAAAAAAAAAAAAAAAAAAAAAAAAAAAAAAAAAAAAAAAAAAAAAAAAAAAAAAAAAAAAAAAAAAAAAAAAAAAAAAAAAAAAAAAAAAAAAAAAAAAAAAAAAAAAAAAAAAAAAAAAAAAAAAAAAAAAAAAAAAAAAAAAAAAAAAAAAAAAAAAAAAAAAAAAAAAAAAAAAAAAAAAAAAAAAAAAAAAAAAAAAAAAAAAAAAAAAAAAAAAAAAAAAAAAAAAAAAAAAAAAAAAAAAAAAAAAAAAAAAAAAAAAAAAAAAAAAAAAAAAAAAAAAAAAAAAAAAAAAAAAAAAAAAAAAAAAAAAAAAAAAAAAAAAAAAAAAAAAAAAAAAAAAAAAAAAAAAAAAAAAAAAAAAAAAAAAAAAAAAAAAAAAAAAAAAAAAAAAAAAAAAAAAAAAAAAAAAAAAAAAAAAAAAAAAAAAAAAAAAAAAAAAAAAAAAAAAAAAAAAAAAAAAAAAAAAAAAAAAAAAAAAAAAAAAAAAAAAAAAAAAAAAAAAAAAAAAAAAAAAAAAAAAAAAAAAAAAAAAAAAAAAAAAAAAAATGTAGTATAAATGTTAATAACGAGTAGAATCATCATTAAATCTGACCCTATCAAAGATACACAACCCCCTTTTTCTCCTCATCCCCTTGACCTTTAACTACCAAAATTTAAAAGTATTAATGCCTCTTATATACAAACCAACATGCCAAATTTCATTACTTAATCTTTACCCCATCCTGAGATATAAAGCAAAACAGATGCCAACACACACAATTTTTTGTCACTTTTTTACTTTTTTGAATTTCAGGTGGTCTCAAAATGTGCAGATTTGCAAAAAGCTCAGAGGGTCAAATCTGACATGATTCCAATACTTTCCCTTGTTATGTATACATAACAGCCAGGAAAGTAAAATGAGTAAAGTTTATTTCTATAGGAATAATTTTAAACTTAATGTTACATTAACTAAAATAACAAAATATTACTTTTATATGTATACTATATTCCAAAATTTGCAAGTTGGAGTAAGCTGTTTATTTTTGTTTTCCCCAGAACAGTTCTAATTTTAATATTTTGTTAATCTTTACTTAATGTAATGTTAATATAATGAAATTATATCCAAAAGCGCAAAAAAAAAAAAAAAACTTGAAAATATTTACTGATATGAACATTCTTATATATTGTACATTCATTATTTAAGATATACAGTCGATCCCCCTACAACACTGTTGATTTTTCCGTTTTATATGAATTCCATGTTGTACAAGTCACTTAGATTTTACAAATACGTGTGCCGGGCTGTGAACAGTTCTCATATTTGTAAAATCTAAGTGACTCGTACAACATGGAATTCATATAAAACGGAAAAATTAACAGTGTTATAGGGGAGTCGACTGTACCTGATGATGTTCATTAGAAACAGACAAAGACATTATCAGTAAATATTTTTACTCCTTTTACTGGTTTTGGATATATTTGTGTGTACTTTCGTTCCATACAACCAGTTTTTGAAGAAGTGAATGTGTTAATTTAACTGTTTTGTCCATATTCTAAAATCAGATTTAAAATTTCAAATTTCAGATGTTTATTGTCCTATTTTAGTAATGAATATTTATTTTTTATTTTCATAGGAACTCAATCATTTATGATATTATTATAATAGCAACTATAATCTTTTAAGCATTGACCTTGAAACAGATATAGATCCAAAAAGCATTAGAATTTCAATTTTTTTAATTCTATTAAAGCATTTTTTTCTGGTTTTTAAATGTTTAGAATCATTTGTATATTTTTTCAAAACATCAATTTTATTAAAATAATAATTTTCTTACCAGCCACAGTATTTCTAATATTTGATGAATTGAGGTTTAAACGCATTTGATGTCTTCTTTTGTGAACAGTCAAATGATCTTCATTTGTAAAATGCTATAATATAGTTAATATTTAATTTTAATAAAGTTAGAAATACATTTGCAAAAAATTAAAATAGTAATGCATCATTTGATGATTATAATTTAATAAATTCATTCAAATTTACACTACATTTTCATAGTAAAGTTAGTATTTAGGAACAAACCTATACATAATATATCTCTATATACAAATATTATTCCATGATAGAAAGAAAATTTATAAAATCAAATAATTTAACAGGAAAAAATAAAAAATATACATATACAGATACATACATATGATAAAAAGCTCTATCTCTATACTATTCAACATATCTGCACCAAATTTGGCATGAATATTCTTTGATGCAAAAAAAAAAAAAACAACAAAAAAAAAATACCGTTTTGGAACCAACCATTCCTAAGCATTCCTAAGCCCAAGCAAGCATTAACATAACATTACAGTTTCATTATTGTAAACACTTAGTAACTAATATGAACATTTATCGACCTAAGACTATTACATTAATCATTCTATCCCAACCAAACCACACCAATCCCTACCCTCTCGAAAGTACAAGCAATACCAGACACATGCAACTAAATATAAAATGAAAACACTATTTTTCCACTACTTCAATTTATTCCCTTAAATACAGCTGTGTTCTAAATAATTTAACTGAAATCTAATCTAAATATACAAATGTATATACTTGTTTCATGTGTTATTTTACAAAGACTTTGTAGAACTTCATATTATGATAATTAGATCAGAAACAATTACCTACATTTCTAACAAGAAGGCCATATGTTCAAATTGCCAATTCAAAAGAAACTTGGTGAGAATATAGCCCTAAAAACAAAAATGGCTCCTTGTCCAAATAATAGGGCCTATTTCTCAAGAGTTTCTAAAAAACAAGCTCTGAAAATTGAGTATTTACTTGTGAAACTTCCAAAGACTTATCCACTTGGCTATCCCATTCCAAAGAGACATAAGATACTAGGTACTGGAGCTACACTTCATGATGTCATTTCCTGTGAAAACAAAATCTCTATAGATTTAACTGTTTTATGTTGTTAAATAAACATGAGGAATAATAATAGTAATAATCATGCTAATGATATGGTGAAAAAATAAAATAATTATGCTACACATTTAAAAAACAAAATCAAAATTGCAAAGGTTCAAACCTATATTGTGTATCTCCAGTGCCTAGCATCTTATCCACTTGGCTATCACTGTTCCAAGGAGATGTGAAACTTCCAAAGACTTATAAGTTAAACAATCAATTTTCAGAGGCCTGTTTTTTGGAAATCTTGAGAAGAGACACAAACATCTGAGCCTCTTTGTAAGTATAAGTATGTTTCACAAAAAAAAAACTTTTTAACTGTTATAATAAGTTTAATTTAAACAATAAATAACTTATTTTGTTAAGATTAATATAAATACTGTAACGAAATTTTTTCAGATATTTTAAAAAATTAAATTTTTAATCACTCTAAAAATCAAAATATTTAGAATTTAAATCTTGAATATGTTTGGTTACAACAACTTCACTAGTTCTGACAATAAATAAATATCACTCATTGCTTTATTTAAAAAGAATTTTGTCAGAAATGTTACTATTTAAGGTAAGTTTTAAAATAATTTTGGTTGCTTTCAGAGAAACAAATCTGAAATAACACTAGATATATCTGAAAAAACTAAGATCACATGAAAGCCTAAGCATACAACATATGCAAAAAGTTTTTTTCATGTTTATTCTGAAGAAGAATAAAGAATTAATCCAAAAATTGTTATGATATCATAACAGAAAGTTTCAATAAAACAAATATTCTGTAAAAACTGATAATAAAATTTGAAAACTTTCATATAATTAACAAAGAGAACTTGCAGATCATCGTGAACATTATTAAAATTTTTACTGATTTTTACTTAAAATTTCTTTTTATTTTATCATAGTTGAAAAGACGAAAATCCAATTTCACAATAGTGTTATAATTATATCTTTTATTTATTCTTTAATATTTTTTGTCAAGATGTTAATAAATAATCTACAGAAGTATATGATCTCATTAGTAAATACTTGTTTAGAATGTTATTTAGATTAATGATAGATGTTATATTTAAGTATTACTATAGGAAATCTTACTTAAATAATTTATAAGCATTCAATTCATGTATTGTCTGAATATAATCTATTTACATATTGTTTCAAAATTAAAATTCTTATTTTCATGAACTGAAAATGTTTTTTAAACTAACTTATATAAATTTCTTGTTAACTATATCAAAATATTCATTTATCATCTGTTCAGATTGTTTTTTTTTTAATGAGAAAATTTATTAGCTACACGACCAAAAATTATCATTAGGTATGCATATACTTTACAGTTCAAAAATTTTAATCTCGAAATGTGATATTGTAATTATTAAATCTGCTTGATAATCAATCATAGTTTCTTTGAAAGAATTTTATACTTATCAATAGAGTTACAGATGATAAAGAGAGCAAAAATCATTAGATAAAACCTAATATTTCAAACTATTTCACATTTTATGTAAAATTATCATAAATAAAAGATCAAGGACTAAAACACCTGAAATAAAAAAAAGTAATCACAATCAAACAAATTTATAAGAAAATATGCATTTATTTTAATTTAGACAAATATTAATAGATTGATATTTATTGAATAATAAATTTTGATATCCTACATGCCACTAAAGATGTTCATGTGAAAGTTTAGTTAATTTTTGTAATAAACTTTTTCAGTTATTCATTACAGTAGAAGTACCCAGAAATATGTATGTGTATTTGTTTTTATTTCTCATTATTTCAAAATACCAGAAGTTCATCATATACAGCTTTTAGTAAAGCATATTTTCTAAATATCCTATTTAGTTTTAAAGAATATGATATCAAAAACAACATTCACAGAAAATCTGTATCATCTTTTGTATATTCCAAGTAATTCCTATAATCTAGATACTTAGTTGCTTTTAAAATTCAAGAAAGGACATGTCTATGACTGAAAAAAGGAAACAAAGTATACATTAAAAATCTAGGTAAAAAAATAGCTAAAGTTAATTTAACTTTATTGATTAACTAATAAGATTTTCATTAAACAAAACAAATACAAAAAAGTATAATAAATTATAACAAAACTTCTATATATAAATGTAAAATTTTTTGTTTACAAAATTCTCTCACACTTAAACTCTATAATATTCTCTTTAGTTAAAAATGCCAAAGAGCTTAAAGAATTAAACCATCAATTTATTTGAGATCAGGCAATATATAATAAAATTTTAAAAACAAACAATTATTAATGATATTTTAAATTTATTTAATTTAAAATATATGCTCTCCACCTCAAATTAGTAGTACTGGCTTTCCCCTGTACATCATACTTTTCCTTTAACAATAGAGTTGTGCCAGTCACCTACCTAACATCTTTCAGGAAAAAATTTTACAATTGAAATAACATGACTTCAGGTTGCATTGGAGTTTGTAAATAGTTAATTGAGTCTCCTGCCTCTAAGGTTTCCATATCTGGTCTCATCTTTCATCTATATAACTCTGTTCTCATGATTAAGGAAGGACAGATGGATGGACAGATGAGCGAAGTGAGAATTTATAGGTTTACAATTTTTTAAAATTGAAACCCAATGAAGAATTTCTTTTTAGGGAGTGAAATCTAAAATTTAATATGAAAAACTACAAAGTAGCAGAAAGAACAAAAATCATCATCTTGTTTCTTTGAAAATAACACAGGTTTATAATTGCAACTTGACATTTAGAAGATTTTATGGCTCTCACTTGGCTCTAGCACTAAACATCATTCTGAATATTGTGAAGCAATTTGAGGAATAGAGGAACATTGGCCAAATAACGCCCGATATTTTGGAAAAAGTTATGGCAAATGTGACAAAAAAGGATATTTGTGCCATCAAGAAGGTGGTCATTTAAGTAATATCTTATCCTGCACTTAACGGAAAAAGTTTCCAAAAATAAAACTAATTTTTGCATTTTAATTTTGTTTTTGTTCTTTACAAATGAATTTTAGGGACTTCTTGTCCTACCTAGTACATATTTAATGTTAACATTTGTTAATATTAAATGTGTATAATTATTATAATATATATGTATAAATTCAATAATTTATCAGACTAAATGTAAATAAGTAAACTGTCATTTTGCAATATAATTTAACTATAGTAGAAATCCAATATTCACACATTCTTTATTCGCACACTTTGCATATTTGGAGTTTTGTATTTGCAACCATTATTCTGTATTCAAGAAATTAAAATCCACTAATTTGCAGAATTAAAAAATTAATAATGAAACAATACATAAACAATCAAATAATTTAAAGACATTTTATGTTAAATGCATTCTACAATAAATTGTGTTGTTGACTATTAGACCATGGATACTAGCTTGTAATTTCTCATGTTATTTTAACACATGGATGCAACTATTAATGTCACATTTTATATTAGTATGCATTATGAATGTGAACATTGTTTTATTTGCAATTTTAGTTATTTTTTTTTTATCCTTATAAATCATCATCATCATAATATAAAAACCACAACAGATAAAATACTGAAAATGGCTAAAGAAATTGCTTAATGTTTCTTAAAGACAAAGCTCACGTACAGAGAATAAAAATTCAACAAATATGGATGCTTGCATGTTTATTATAAATACAGTAAGATAGATTAAGAAAAACAGAGATATAGATTAGAAACACTATAGTAAAATTTTTTGTAAGAAAATATACTATGTTCTAATCCTATATTTTTCAATGTATTTATTTTTCCATATTCACAATTTCCGCATTTATGAGAGTTTTGCAGAGCAACCAACCATGATTATGGATATTCTGTTGCATATGTTTTTTAGCATTGGTAGTTTATTTATTGTTTGGTATTAATAATATTAATATGAAAACACTTCTACTAGTTATTTTGATAATATACTAAAAACTTAAAATTCACAAATTATTTTATTATTAAAAACTTGTTAAAAAAACACAATATTCTTATTAATATATTACAGAATAAACATTTCAATGAATGTATTTATTATTTTATATTTAATGAAATAATCTAGAAACATACTTCCAGTATATTTTTACTTATAGGTTATATTTAAAATTGATATTCAATCATACTTGTTATATTTTACAAACGCTATCTTTAAAAACATCTCGATACTAATAAATGACAGATGCCATTTTATAGTAATTAAAATGATCTTACCATTCCACAACCATCAATATTACATGCAAATGGCTTGTTATCATCCCCCATATTATACAAATTTAATTTGTTCCAGCATATTATGATGAGATTACACCTGTAAAATATATTTTTATTAATAAATTATAATATTAATCAAAAATAAAGTAACTTTATAGCAATTATATAAACTGAATTTTTTACATAACAATACTTAAATGTATCAATTTAAAAATGTAGCCTAAAAATAATCGCAAAAAGTTACATCATATTTCAAATTTATATAAAGATTAACACTATAAAATTTGTTGAATAGATTATGATAATGTCTTTTTATTTACCAAGGAAAAGCATTTGAGTCAAATTATATATATGAGATCTTCCAAATTTTTTTTTATTTGACTTCTTTATTATTCAGGTTTGAAATATTTTGTTATTTTAATTAATGATAATTCAATAATTTGTCAAACCAAATCTTTAAAATCAGAAAAACTACTTTCATTTTTAGAAAAATACATAGTTATTTAATTAAATTAATTAACATGCTATGAAAGAAGCTAATTATTTTCAAATCCACTAGAATCTAATCTTAATGTTGCATGAAATATGAATACGCCAAGAATTGTTGAGATGAATATTCACCAAAAGAGAAATTTCAAGCTGGCTTGGAGTTGATTCAGGCTAGAATTCAAAATCTAAACTGTAAACTGGTTCACTACTAATATGAGTGATAGTGAAGATAACTTGTTATTTGGATTTGCTACTGTTGTATAAATGCGTGATATTTCTCAAATTTCTAAACAGCAATAGCATGGAATGCATCATCTTTTTGTCTCTTAAAAGAAATGACTAGATTCACCAAGTAATAAAATTGTATAATGCACAATAGACAGTGGTTATCTTTTTTTTTTTTTTTTTTGTATTTTTATATTCTGCANTTTTCATCGTGGAGCTTGTCATCGAATGGCGCTCACATACTTCCTGATAATTTATTTTTTTTGCAAAAAATTCATTGAACTTTAGAGACATCATTAATATAAATATAATTTTTATGGACATTAAATAATAAATGGTTTTTAGTAGGTCTGCTGCTCATTTAAACTCAACGGTTTGTACAATATCCGTTATTGGTCTAGATTCGACCAATCCTGTCGCGACACGAGGCGATGATGTTTTACCGAATTATACGAGTTTTTTTAGCATGTTTGTACAAATACTGTCACAATTTTTTCATCGTGATATAGGAATCCAAACTATAGGAACCCGTGTTATAGGGGGGTCGACTGTATTTTAAAAATAATAAAATTTTGTCCACTTGAACATACTTCATTTGAAAATTTTTTTACCTCATTAATAGAGATTTGTCCTTTCTCCACAGACTGTGATGCCTTACGAAATTGTTCTTCAAAAGGATTAACATTTGACAAATCCTGAAACAATCCATATTCTTCTCCTATTTTGATAAATCTTGTAGGAGTAGGTGTCTGATCTATAATAACAGTAATATTAATTTTTAAAAAATTTGTGATTATTATGTTAATTAAAAAAATAAAAAAATTTAATTGTATTTATATATATAGATTGTCTGCTTAAAATGTAAAGAGTGCAAAATTTTCTATCAGTTTTCAATTAATGCATTTTGAATCATTAATTAATTAAACCTTTGAATAGCTTTTGTTCTGTTGTGCAAGATCAGGAGCTGTGGGGCCCCGTTCACAGATTCAGGATGGAAAATATTTTAATTTGTTCAAAGTTCATGAAATCTTTGTAACGTCAAGATTCCTGACACCAGTTAGGAAAGAAAAGAATAATCGCATCCTAACTCATGATAATTTGGAAAAGTTCTACCGATCCAAGTGGCTTATGAATCCAGGAGGGATTTGAGGATAAGATAATAGATCTAGACTGGAAACATTGTTATCATCTGTAAACATATTTATTTAAATTCAAACTATATATATGGTCTAATACATAAACAGCATTAATAAGAATAAAATGAACAAAATTTTCCCATTGACAATCTAATATATGATTTCCCTTAAATCTAACCTGAGAGAGACAGCTTACATTGTTACAGTCAAATGCAATATCTCATTTCTTTTCTTCTGTTTTCTTCTGATGTTGTTGGCAGAGCTGGCCACGTTCTCCTGTATTTGGCAATAAAACTCCTTTTCATTCAGACACCAACTTTCTTGGAAGTTATGTTTCCAATTCCAGCTCAGCCCTGGACGTTAGTGTGAACCCTATTTATAGGCTATTCATCCGACCAATCATTTGGGGCTATTCAAGTCATCTGAGGAGAGAACCAACAAGAAACTTCTTGTAAAGTTGCTATCAAAATTAGCATCTCTCCTCAGGAACTTCCTTCAAAATTGAAAGAAAGTTCATTTGCAACTAACACAAATGTTTCCTGTTTAACAATATTTTAAAATTTTCTATTTAACCTAAAATATTGGCCCCTAGGTTCTCACAGTTGCCATAACTATGTTATTTCATAATAAATGCTTTACGATTCATCATTCACATTTTATACCTCTGGCACTAATGATCTGATCAGTGTACATGATGATTATGTATAAATTTTTAGATTTGGTGTTTATAAATTTTAGTTACTTTCCAATATTGAATAAATTAATATAAAATGCATTTTGTTCTATTTTCCAAAATTACTATATTAGAATTATAGTCTTGAATAATTATTTTCTTTTTCTGCCATATTTGCATTTCTTATCAAGATATTATTATTATTATATTACAGAACCAGGCTATGCTAGAAAATTTATGATCAAATAATTATGTTTATGAACTTTTTTCAATTTAACTATAATGTATTCAATTGCAAAAATGAAATGATCTTGCCCTTCCTTAGAAATAACTTATATTCATAAAATTCAAATATTAAAATACTAGCAGATGAGCCCAGCGTTGTTTGGACAAAAAGTAACAATAGCAAAGATTAAGATTATTAGATTATAGCCAATCTTACCTGTTTTCACCAAGTGCAAGAATTAGGTCCCCCCTCTTCCAAGACTAATTAGAGAATTTTTAGATATCTGCTTACCACACCAGAATAACAATAAATAAGACTCACTGCAACCACTAACTGGTGCATATTACTACTAAGTGATAAATAATAATAAATGTTTTTGTAACTCTTTCTGTGTTATTTTTTGAATTTATTAATCCTGAAGAACAAGCTGGATCTTTCAGAATCATTCATAAATATAAATTCAAACATAAAATTGAACATTAAGACGAAGAGTTCGAATAAAGCAAACTTATGTGCATGCGTTCCTTGTATCAACTTTATATAGCATGGAACACTAAATATCATTGATAGTTTTTAAAAGGGTCTAAAAATATGTTCAATTTTCTGCATAAATGCAAAAAAGGCATCTAAACTAGTACAGTAGAAGCCAAGTTCTTCGGGATAATCCTTAACCCTCTCTCTCTCTCCTCCGCAGTGGGAATTTCGAAAAATCCCTTCTTAATGTTCATTCTCATGGTATACATTATTAAACACAATGAAAAATGCAAAAAACTGCATCTAAAAAAGTATAATAGAAGCCAAGTTCTTCACAGTAAGCCTTAATCCTGTCCCTTTCCCCTGTGGGAGGATTTCAAAAAATCCCTTCTTAGTGTACATTCTCATGATGTACCCGAACTGTGTACCAAATTTCAACTTTCAACACCTAACCGTTTGGGCTCTGCACTTATTATTATCATTATCAACCCATCTCGATTTTATTATAAGATTCATAAATTTAAATTTATTACTTTGTTATATTTCTTTATAACTGTAATTTCTAAAAAATTTATTTATTTAATTTTCATAAAAAATCCAGCAACAAGATGCATAACTTTCACAGCTATTATGAGATCTTTAGAAAATAACATTTTTAATTTTAATTACAATATAACTTAATAAAATTGTGTGTGGTGCCTCTGTAATGAGATTTTGTTATAAAATACTTATATTTTTAATTACAGTAATACCCCGACTTACGCGAACCCGGAGTTACGCGATTTTCAAATCTCGTCGATTCGTCTTTTGTTTGAGCGCCACGCAATCCTTGATTACTCACTACCCCCACACTATTGTTCAGCTTACATGTTCGGATGTGTCGCGCGGAATCCACACATAGCTACAATTTATTTTGTGTTATTTATTTCTGTGTTTGTTATATCTACGAAGACTCGAGAGACTCTACTATATCATCCAAACGAAGTAGAACTGATTCTTCTGCATCAAACAAGAAAAGAAAAACTTTATCTTTGGAATGTAAAGTTAACATTNTTTTTTTTTTTTTTTTTTTTTTTTTTTTTTTTTTTTTTTTTTTTTTTTTTTTTTTTTTTTTTTTTTTTTTTTTTTTTTTTTTTTTTTTTTTTTTTTTTTTTTTTTTTTTTTTTTTTTTTTTTTTTTTTTTTTTTTTTTTTTTTTTTTTTTTTTTTTTTTTTTTTTTTTTTTTTTTTTTTTTTTTTTTTTTTTTTTTTTTTTTTTTTTTTTTTTTTTTTTTTTTTTTTTTTTTTTTTTTTTTTTTTTTTTTTTTTTTTTTTTTTTTTTTTTTTTTTTTTTTTTTTTTTTTTTTTTTTTTTTTTTTTTTTTTTTTTTTTTTTTTTTTTTTTTTTTTTTTTTTTTTTTTTTTTTTTTTTTTTTTTTTTTTTTTTTTTTTTTTTTTTTTTTTTTTTTTTTTTTTTTTTTTTTTTTTTTTTTTTTTTTTTTTTTTTTTTTTTTTTTTTTTTTTTTTTTTTTTTTTTTTTTTTTTTTTTTTTTTTTTTTTTTTTTTTTTTTTTTTTTTTTTTTTTTTTTTTTTTTTTTTTTTTTTTTTTTTTTTTTTTTTTTTTTTTTTTTTTTTTTTTTTTTTTTTTTTTTTTTTTTTTTTTTTTTTTTTTTTTTTTTTTTTTTTTTTTTTTTTTTTTTTTTTTTTTTTTTTTTTTTTTTTTTTTTTTTTTTTTTTTTTTTTTTTTTTTTTTTTTTTTTTTTTTTTTTTTTTTTTTTTTTTTTTTTTTTTTTTTTTTTTTTTTTTTTTTTTTTTTTTTTTTTTTTTTTTTTTTTTTTTTTTTTTTTTTTTTTTTTTTTTTTTTTTTTTTTTTTTTTTTTTTTTTTTTTTTTTTTTTTTTTTTTTTTTTTTTTTTTTTTTTTTTTTTTTTTTTTTTTTTTTTTTTTTTTTTTTTTTTTTTTTTTTTTTTTTTTTTTTTTTTTTTTTTTTTTTTTTTTTTTTTTTTTTTTTTTTTTTTTTTTTTTTTTTTTTTTTTTTTTTTTTTTTTTTTTTTTTTTTTTTTTTTTTTTTTTTTTTTTTTTTTTTTTTTTTTTTTTTTTTTTTTTTTTTTTTTTTTTTTTTTTTTTTTTTTTTTTTTTTTTTTTTTTTTTTTTTTTTTTTTTTTTTTTTTTTTTTTTTTTTTTTTTTTTTTTTTTTTTTTTTTTTTTTTTTTTTTTTTTTTTTTTTTTTTTTTTTTTTTTTTTTTTTTTTTTTTTTTTTTTTTTTTTTTTTTTTTTTTTTTTTTTTTTTTTTTTTTTTTTTTTTTTTTTTTTTTTTTTTTTTTTTTTTTTTTTTTTTTTTTTTTTTTTTTTTTTTTTTTTTTTTTTTTTTTTTTTTTTTTTTTTTTTTTTTTTTTTTTTTTTTTTTTTTTTTTTTTTTTTTTTTTTTTTTTTTTTTTTTTTTTTTTTTTTTTTTTTTTTTTTTTTTTTTTTTTTTTTTTTTTTTTTTTTTTTTTTTTTTTTTTTTTTTTTTTTTTTTTTTTTTTTTTTTTTTTTTTTTTTTTTTTTTTTTTTTTTTTTTTTTTTTTTTTTTTTTTTTTTTTTTTTTTTTTTTTTTTTTTTTTTTTTTTTTTTTTTTTTTTTTTTTTTTTTTTTTTTTTTTTTTTTTTTTTTTTTTTTTTTTTTTTTTTTTTTTTTTTTTTTTTTTTTTTTTTTTTTTTTTTTTTTTTTTTTTTTTTTTTTTTTTTTTTTTTTTTTTTTTTTTTTTTTTTTTTTTTTTTTTTTTTTTTTTTTTTTTTTTTTTTTTTTTTTTTTTTTTTTTTTTTTTTTTTTTTTTTTTTTTTTTTTTTTTTTTTTTTTTTTTTTTTTTTTTTTTTTTTTTTTTTTTTTTTTTTTTTTTTTTTTTTTTTTTTTTTTTTTTTTTTTTTTTTTTTTTTTTTTTTTTTTTTTTTTTTTTTTTTTTTTTTTTTTTTTTTTTTTTTTTTTTTTTTTTTTTTTTTTTTTTTTTTTTTTTTTTTTTTTTTTTTTTTTTTTTTTTTTTTTTTTTTTTTTTTTTTTTTTTTTTTTTTTTTTTTTTTTTTTTTTTTTTTTTTTTTTTTTTTTTTTTTTTTTTTTTTTTTTTTTTTTTTTTTTTTTTTTTTTTTTTTTTTTTTTTTTTTTTTTTTTTTTTTTTTTTTTTTTTTTTTTTTTTTTTTTTTTTTTTTTTTTTTTTTTTTTTTTTTTTTTTTTTTTTTTTTTTTTTTTTTTTTTTTTTTTTTTTTTTTTTTTTTTTTTTTTTTTTTTTTTTTTTT